AGGAATAAGTGAGCCCATAACGTCCTTACACAGCTGCCGGCGGGTGTAAGATATGGATGAGCAGCTGTAAGGATAAAGCTTGGTTTATGCTTGACGCATTCACTTTCCGCGCGGTGATGCGGCTCGCGGATGGAACGAGCTTCACAACTTGCAGCATTTATGGTTCGTGTATGCTCGTCTCTGCGGTGAGCCAATATTCTCCCAAACTGTAGGGGGCAGCATGGAGCTCTACACGGCATGCATCCAACACTACACCATAGTAGAAGTAAAAATTACTGTTTACAACATGGCATTCCAGCATTTTTAACTGCGTCCTCGTCTTTTCCGACAGTGCGAGCTATTTCTCTCCAAGAATTATTAACAACATGTTGATCACGGTGATCTCTGAGAGCTGAATCATACAAATGTCTGTATTTACGAACCTCTGCCATACTAGTTCTTAACGGTCCGCCATGTTTTTCCGCATCCGACCGTCCGCGTGGTTAGAAATTTTCCAAGGTGCGCGTTGCGGAAATTCTGGGCCGTGCGGAGACGCGGTGGAGGGGCGTGGTTGTTAAAATTACGCTATTTCGCAGCGCGGAGCCGTGCGGACCTCGCTGACGCATCAAGCATAAACCAACCTTCAGCTTTTGGCTTTTGTATGACCTTCTTCAACCACTCTCTCTTTATTCTGCTCTCCCCACTTATTCCACCTTCCTCAGGATCCACTGATTTCCCTCTTTCCTGTTCACTCTCTCTCGTTCTTAACATTTTTTTAATCACAATTGTCTATTCTTTGCTCATTTTAAATATATTTTTAACCATTTTCTGAATAATTTTTTATATTTTTACATTTTTTGTTTTTGTGACGTGCCTCATGATTTCTAGAGAGGCACTATAGAAATGATATTTTCTTCTTCTTCTTCTTCTTCTTCTTCTTCTTCTTCTTCTCATATGTAGCAAGCCGAGTGGAACCACAACTTGGGCCGCCGCCATCATGCCCAGAAGCCTCATCACAGACAGCGCTGTCACTGTGTGCTGTGGTTGCACACGGCAAATCATGGCGAGCAGATCCGCCGTTCTTTACCAGGAAAGACGTGCTCTTATGGAGCTGGAGTGCAGTTCCACGCCCAGGAAGATGATGGATTGGGACGAGACCACAGAACTCTTCTCCCAGTTTATTTAGAAGCCCAGTGTGATCAAATGTAACGCCAGCTCCCTCGTCTGTGACTCCGCCTCCATCTGGGAACGGGCCAGGAGGAGCAGGTCGTCTGGATAAAACAGGATTCTCAAGCCCGCCGTGTGTAATGGCTGGAGCGCCGCAGCCATGCATTTGGAGAAGGTGTGTGAGGCCAGGGAGTGCCCGAACGGGAGCCTGTTGTACTGGTACTGAATCCTGTTGATTGAAAAGTGCAGGAATTTCCTGTGCTTCGGAATTATTGGAACATGGAAGTATGCGTCCCTCAGGTCTATGGACGTAAACCAGTTGCCTGGGCACATGTAATCCAACACCTGTTTGATCGTGAGCATGCGGAAGTGCTTCACTGCTATCAGAGCGTTGAAAAGAGACAGATCGAGGATCGGTCTGGAGCCACCAGTTTTCTTTGGAACCAGGAAATAACGGGAGTAGAATCCCGAGTTCTCCTCCCCTGGAGGAACCCTGGAAATGGCCTCCTTTGACAGGAGTTCCCCCAACTCCTCCTCAAGGGCGGAAGCTTGAGGGGCTGACGTCAGTGTCGTCTCCACAATCCCCGAGAACGGGGGTGAGCGGGACTGAAACTGCAGCTTGTGGCCGTTTTAAATGATGTCCCGAATCCATTTGTTCATGTGACACACGCGGCTTCAGTCTTGGGCGCGTTCTGACAGTGGACGCGTACACAGAGTCTGGGCATGCACTGCATCCAAAATCCAGGTTCGGGCCCCTTCCACCATCGCCTGACCCGAAAGAATATCGGAGGCGACCCATGGGGGGCCAGTGGGGAAAGGGCAGGCTGCTAATTTGTAATGCAGTCGATGCCGAGCTCCCTGAGGAAGGAGGCGTGTGGGCATGAATCCTGACAGCGTGTGACTGTGATGCTGGGCGAGATTCATTAGGATGAATGGGTCGCTTGCACGGCACTGGCGTGTGCGGGATGTGTTGCCGCGCGTCAGCCGCATGCGGAGGTGGCCCAGAGCGTGAGCGTGGGAAAGGCTCCGAAGCGCCCACCGAGGGGCGGAAATCAGAAATGACAGCTCGCTTTGGTGGCCGCAGTGAATGTAAAAAAGCCTCATCGTGCTGGTTTACATCACATACAGCAGGGAGAAAGCTCCGTTTGAAGGCAGGGCGCGCGCACGCTAGCGGCTGGTTCTGCACCGGTCTGGGACTGGGCTGGTGGCTGCGGCATCTCTACGGTCCACGATGGTCTTCCAAGGCTCTGGGAAAGGTATGGGGTTGTCGGCTGGACCGAGGGCGAACCAGGCTGCAAACGGTGGCGGAGGAGTCAGCTGATCTTTGAGCCCTCTCAACGGCATTGCGGAAGTGGGATCCAAACAGCATGTCTGCGCTGACTGGTCCCTTCAGCATATCTTTGTACAGCTGCTCCAGGATGGATGGGAGGGAACTGAGCCATAGGAGCCGATGGATCAAAGTCTGCCAGGCGGAGATGCAGGCTGCACAGACCAGATTGGCGGCACACAGATTTAAAATGGTGTCCGCCGATTTGCAGATGAGGTTCTTAGGCTCATCAGGCAGGTCACACGCCTCCGCCGACTTGGAGATGCCGTAGACGATTAGGGCAACGTTGTTTGAGGCTGCGCACTGATGAGAGCGGTCAGTGAACCGAGCCAGATGCTGCTCGTTCTTGGCGGCGGGGACCGCACGCTGGCCTACCATCTTGACCTTGGTTCCGAGCAGAGAAGCCAAGTTGGGCTCCAAGGGTGGGACAGCCGGGAAGCCATGTTCAGAAAGGTACTCCACATTGGTGATGGAAGTGTAAGAAGAGACAGGAGCCCTGAGCCGGGTGAGTTCCGCCTTTGAGCCGTTCCAGTAGTCCATAGCTGCCAGGAACTGAGGAAAAACCCGAGTCGGGTCAGCGGGCTAGGTTCGCGCCAAACCGGCCTGCTACGTCGTCCGACTTAGGAGGGGCAGCAGTTGGCACGGTTAATCCTTTGTAGTCTGCCGCCACTGAAATAATGGCGGGCAGCTTGTGGAGCAGCGCTCGGATGGCAGGGAGCGGTGCAGAGGTAGTCTGGAGGATTGGGTTCAAGTCCCATTCGGGAGCCCGGTGTTCCGCAGCCTCCAGGGTGATATGTGAGGATCTCGTGCAGCTGAGCCGCTTCGTGTCAGAGCAGCAAGCCAGTGCGGAATCAGACGGGTCCTGATGAGCGTCGAAAATGTCCATGACCTCTTCCAGTGGGACAGTGTCGGCCGCTGAGGAAACGTCCTCGGAGATGGAGGTGAAATAGTCCACACGTCGTAGCTTCTCGACCGCCGGGAGGAGCTCGCAGAAGTGGCACGCGGCTCGAGGTGTAAGGGCGAGGCCGGCGTGTTTGGGGCCGAGGCAGATGTCGCATCTGTCGTGGAGGTCACCGGGAATGATGTAGAACACGTTGAAGGATTGGCAAAGGCGAATAGCTTCGCTCGTCATGATGGTTGGATCTTCTAGGTTAACTCTAGTCGTCAAGTCTGTTGAAGAACTGAAAGGAGAAGATCCTTAGTCCTCGCACCTCTCTTATAGGACCAGGGCCCACCTGATAGGCGGGCGTACATTAAAGCTCTTCAGTCATTGGTCGTTGTCAAGGACTAACTCCCAATAGGTGAGGCTTACAGGGCGGAGCCATACGACATAGAACTAACTTTATTAAAGGGATTTAGATGAAACGTCTGGTGTCTTCACAGGGATCTTGGTGTCTTGTGAACAGGATAAATGACGGATACTCATATCGACACCTCCGGTGTCAGTCTGGCATGACCTGAATGGAGAAGTAAACTTTTGGTCATTTGATGAAATGCAGGCCTTGAGCTACACAACACTGTTGTACAACCAGATATTAACATACTTACATGTTAAACTAGTCCTCTCCCATTTTATCTGCTATTGTTATAAGAACAAAAATCTCACATTCGGCCCACGAATACTGGAATAGCCTTGGCCAGTAAAGCCTAGTTTATGCTTTAAGGAGCACGAAGTCGAGCCCACTTTTCTAAGCATATGTCAAACGAGATGGATAACGCCAGCTTGTGACTGGTTGTCATTGCGCTCTCAAAAACAGAGAGAGATAAAAAAAATATCTAGTGACAGACATGGAGCAGCTGTTTTATTTTTCCGTGACTGGAGGAGTTTAAATACAAAGCAAGCATTTTATTTGTGGATGGAAATGTGGGTTTAAAGGTGGCGAGCGCATGAAGAGGTGGAGGAGAATGAGGGACAAATTTGTCCCTGTTAAAAAGATTTTGAAATACAAGTAATAGTAAAATGCACCATCTTGGATCGATACGTGACAAGATACCTCAGAACGCTGCGCCCTCTGTTGTCCTGGTGGGGAACTGCTTTGCAACACTCCCCAGGAGAACATCTCTGTCAACGCGTGTGCGTCTCTCCCTTATGACGCTGACGCAGAAGCATAAACTACACTTAAGGCAACACCAGGCCTGTCGTTGAAATTCAGGGAACACAAGAATCCAATTGAGGACACATTTTGAGCGTCTTTAGAAAGTGGACAGCTTTGTCGCTTTGCTGTGACGTAATCAGCCTTAGAATGTGTACTCAGAAGAAGGCAGCCCCTGGATTTTGATACAACCTATAACTGACTGTTAAAGATGGCTGCCACAGCTATGTAAATGTCCATGTCTAAGTCAATTTTATAGATATTGTGGCTAAAACTTGGTGTTGTAGTAGCTGAGAGTCATTCACAACACCCACTCTGCACCTTAACAGTTAAATCAAGATTGTCACTAACATTTTCAATAATTGTCCCAAAAATAATCATTTCTCAACATGAGATTGTCTTAGTTTTGGTGTTTTTTCGTTCTCTTGTTGCAGATGAAGAGAGCCCTCAGACTTCCACCAGCCAGTTAAACTTTGGTCGATCATCCTCACTCCAGAGGGGAAAACAAAGCAGCGTCCTTACCTTTGCTGATTTCACTGATGACAACACATCATCTCCTCCATCAAAGTACAAGAGTAGCTTACTGAACCGCTACCTGAATGACACCCTGAGGCACGTGAAGGCAGCAGAGGCAGATGGTGTTTCCTCAGCCCGCAACAGAAGAAGCCATCCCGAGTCGCTTAGCTCCAACGGATGTGAACGAGATGTTGTCTCTCCGGCGTCATCATTAGAAACTGAGGCCAACTTCATGTACCACATGGGTAAGATTTATACAGGTTGTACAAAAACAATAAAACCTGTTTCTAATTCAACTGAAAGCTGATGTCTTCACATGTGTGTGAAAATAATGATGTACAACTTACAACATACAACATCCTCCTGCTCTATTAAGGCCTTTTCCTTGTTAATTGGAGATTCATGCAGAATGTGAAGCACTTTGACAGTTTAACTACTCTGTTTTCCTTCAGTTGTTCTTTAATGCACCACAGTGTACAGTAAAACAGGAGCAGAATGAACAGAAACCTCCACTCGGCAGCTCAGGGCTCCCTGACACTAATAAATCTCTGGCATACCACTGAGAGTCAAGATGCTCAACAACATTCAATCATACATGTAATGGCAAACCGAGAATGGAGTTGGACACGTGGGTGAGACCTTCAGGGACCCGCAGAAGCACAGCAGACAACGTCTCTGCAAACGCTGCTAATAAACGCCCACGCAGATGCTGAAATCCCTTGTTTTAAACTTGGATGGAGTTTGCGCTGGCTGCCACTGAACACCACAAATATCCTTTCCATGCACTCGAATGTGCCATTTGTTCCACTTCAGCTTATGGTGGAAATGTCAAGTCTAGCCTCAAGGACAATTACAGAATGTCTGAGACTTTATTCCTCACAGGGTGAGAAGTGGAAACCTCAGCCCAAGTGTGGAAATGGGGCAGACTGTCAATAAAATGAGAACGTCTTATAAGGTTAGCGCCACCACACATGAGACAATGCTAAGTAACTGGACTGTTATTTATTTTGGCTCATTACTTTGGTGTTTGAGGATGTGGCTTTGCTCCCTTGACACCTGTGGACTTTGGCCGTCTGCCTCTTCCCAGTGTTACTTTCCCACTCCAACTCATTCCTTTATACAATGCATTAGAAGCATTGTGAAACATTCTTGTTCTAGTCTCAAAATACCTCAAACTACTTTTTTTCATTTTCCAAAAACTCAAGATTACAGTAAAATGTCACCACTCACCATCTGGAATCTTCTGGTGCTGATCCGTAACTGCCAAAAGACCCACAAATGACCACAAGATGTCTTCATGCACCTTCGAGCTTACACACACACACACACACACACACACACACACACACACACACACACACACACACACACACACACACACACACACACACACACACACACACACACACACACACACACCTGCTCTGCTGCTCCTCACCTGTGGAACACAAGTCCACAATTCTTCTTTTATTTTGTGCAGTTTTGAGTTCAGCATTTATTGCCTTTATTTTTATTAAGTATGCTAGAATTTTTCCAAATAATATTAGATTTTTTTTTATTCTTTGCATTTCTGTCTCTTCTGTGAAAGTAGAGTGATCATAGTAATCAATAACTGACATTTGTTGTAAATCAAACAACAACTTGTGGGTTAAATGATCACGAATCGTGCATCAGTTTTTAATTTTAGCAAAATTAAATGAGATTTTCATTTGTTATTGTTGGAAAAATTATTACAAAATATTTTATGGATAAGTCAGACAAAAAAAACATTTTTAAACTCTTACCAAGATTCTTATTGTCGTTTGTCCATCATGCCCTGAACGTAGCAGCAGATATCATCTCTGGATCAGCAAGCATCTTGAAATGCTTTTCAAGTCCTCTTGAAAGGGACGTTATGGAAGTTTGACAGACAAAACATGTATAGAAATAATAAATTTCTTCTTCATACATTCTCCTGCAATGCCCTGGTCCTGTAGAATGAGCCCTGGCATTTTTACTGTGATTGCCTGTTTTTCTGTAAAATCACAGAAAAAGAGAGATGCTCGGGTCGAGCAGGCTGCTTCATGCGCGTTCACGCTCAGGCATAGCCCGTAGCATTTGCTATCAGTAGCTTTAGCAGCAGAGAGAGAGGCAGTGCCACTTTGTCGCTGTTCCTAACGCCTAGTGACAAAGCTAGCTACGTTTCTGAGGACCCTTAGCTACTTTCTGTAGAACTTTCTTCTAGATATTTCCTGCAAATTAGCAACAAAATAGCCATTTTCGCTCCGAACCGTTCTTTGGTTTGACATTGTTTCAGCTGTCATCAAGGATATAAATGTTACAGATACAACAAATGTTACTGGTGTGTAGCTTACCTAGTAAGATGTCTAACTCTCCTGCGGAAGACCTGGGTTCGTTTCTGGGTGTGAACATAGTTTATTTAGAGGTTCTTTTTTACATTTGTGGTATATTTTTTACAGTAAGATGCCCAAATGTTTATTTGAGACTCGCCGAACGGCATTGAATTCACAGATAAAAAAGATGTGGGTTCAACTTTCATTTTGGAACAATTTTTCAAGCAAGGGAAGGGAATGATCTGAGCATGCAGGAGGACTGACCCATCTTAAACCTTTGTCGGCTGTGCTGAAGAGAAAGGTACAGAACCAAATTATTTAATTAATTAGCTGCGTGTTCTCCTGTCCTCTGTCCTCCGGGCCACACACACACACACACACACACGAGACTATCTCAGTTGTTATTTTCATTAAGGAGTGTGCACGTACAGCATGCGGGCCTCGTGCACGAGCCTACGATTGAAGCTGCCGTTACGCCTTTGGCCTGAGGGGGCGATCGCGAGCAAAAAAATTCAAAAGTCCGAAAAGTCCCTTTAAAAGGCACGATACAAACATGCAGACTCCTGTCTAACATCATCTGTCAGCTTATCCATCAACATAGCAAAGGAAGGGGTTTAGAGTCAATCCTTGATGTAATCCCGCCTTGGACTCCTTTGAAACTCCTACATCACACCTCACTGCTGGCCCACGGCTCTCTCACATGTTCTGCACCACTCTAACACACTTCTCTTCCACTCCAGACCTCCTCTCTCAGCACCCCGACATACACTTTCTGTAAATCTACAGACACTTCCCCATCTTCTCTGTACTTCTCCATTAGCATCCTCAAAGAAAATAGAGCATCTGTAATGCTGTCTCAGCATGAAACTCTACTGTTGCTCACGAATAATCACTTCTGACCTGAGCCTCGCTTCCACCACGGCTTCATTTTTGAAGCTTTCCTCACTTCATCCTTACTGACCTCAGCTACATCCTGATCAGAATCAGAATCAGAAAGAATTTTATTGCCAGCGCTCCAGCGATCCAGAGCATAGGAACTTGACTCCACAGAACAGCCTGACCAAGATTACACACACACATATGGACAGGACAGATACAGGCAGACCGCGAGAGCAGCCATAACGGCGCTCAATCCACAGATCCCGTGATCCACAACAGTGTCCTCTTATACTCTACATTGTTTCTAATTTTCCTCACCCAGCATCTCTTCAAGTACCATTTCATCCCATCACACACTAGGAACCTGTCAGTACATTTCTACGTCTATCCTTAATAACCCTAACCACCACCTTCACCATACGCTGCATCTCCTTGTCCTCCTGTCTACTCTCCTCGGTCCTCTCGGAGTCCCACTTGTTCTTAGCTAACTTCCTTCTCTGCATTTGATCCTGAATGTTTTTGTTCCACCACTAAGTCTCCTTTTATACTTTATTCCTTCCAGCCGACACAGCAAGTACCCTCCTACCCATCTAGCTGAATCTGTCCAGTAGTCTGAGAGCACGTCTGACCCCTAACAGGCTGTCTCAACTCCTCCCTGAAAACCTCACTACCCTCTTCTGTGTTCAGTTCCTAACACCTGGCCCTCTGCTCCACCTTGGCTCTCTTTATCGTCCTCATCATCACTTTCGTCCAACTGCACCATCCTTTGCTGTCTTGCTGCACTCTCACCTACCATACCTTGAAGTCTCTTCAAATTCCAACTTCTACATAAGATGAAGTCCACCTGTGCGCTCCTCCCTCCACCCTTATAAGTCACGCCGTGTTCCTGCCTCCTGTTACAACCAGGTGTCTAGGGGGCCTGGGGTAACATGGAGGACGCGTTACACAAAGGAAAATTAACAAAAGTTTTATTTACCTTTCTCTTTTTTTTGTCTTACTCCACAAAATAAACCACCATGGATCAAAAACCCCTTTAACCAAAACAGGTTCAAACACTAAAATGTAACATAACTCTAAAGAGAGCACAAAATCTAAGGTAACAGATTACCCCTAAAGCTTATTTCTTCTTCAATATCAAAGTTCTAAGTGGGAGACAACAGACCAGAGGAAAGGCAGCTCTGCACTATTGTCCCCATTGGTGAGGAGCTCCAGCAGGTCCTTTAAGCTATCAGCGGCTGATGAAAACCCGGCTCAGCTGGTGCAGGGAGGAGCAAGGGTGAGCAAACAGGCCACAGTCTGCAGGCATGCTCCTCAGATGCAGCATAAAAATGCACAGAAAAATGAAATCACAACACAAAAAGGCTCCAGCCGTAACACTCCACTGGAAAAACATATTTATAACAGCCATTTCCATTCTACCACCATCTGTCCCTCTTTGTTCCTATGCTGGATACCAAACCTGCACATCATGTGTCTACAACGAATGAGCGTGTAATGTCTCACTCCACACAGGAACTGTTGCCCTTGTAAACATGTGGAGTAGCTGCCATGTGAATACAGGATTAGATGTAAACAGGTGACATAACACGCGTACTTAATTAAATGAAATGCTTAAATTCAAACATGAATGAACTGTTTACGTTTTAACAGCTGTTACAGTTGTTGTTTTTTCTGTCTTTGCAGACTCAACAGACTATGGTTCTACTAGAGTTAACATGTAAGTGTGATGAATCTAGGCTGCGCAGTGGCGCAGTGGTTAGAGCTGTTGCCTTGCAGCAAAAAGGTCCTGGGTTCGATTCCTGGCCTGGGGTCTTTCTGCATGGAGTTTGCATGTTCTCCCTGTGCATGCGTGGGTTCTCTCCGGGTAGTCCGGCTTCCTCCCACAGTCCAAAAACATGACTGTTAGGTTGAGTGGTCTGTCTAAATTGTCCTTAGGTGTGTGTGGGGGGGGGGGCGTGGTTGTTTGTCCTGTGTGTCTCTGTGTTGCCCTGCGATGGGCTGGCTCTCTGTCCAGGGTGTACCCCGCCTGATTGCCCATTGACACCCCCCCCCCACCCCCCCACCCCCCCGCGCGACCCTGCGTGGACAAAGCGGGCTCAGAAAATGGATGGATGGATGGTGTGATGAATCTGATTTTGGTTTGAAAATCCCACAACCTCTCCTCCAAACCTCACCTGGCAGAATGAGATACCTGCTGTGTATAATAAACCAAACTAGACAGGAAGGTGATTCTCTGACTCCCATCTGACAAAAGCAAATATTAAAATTATGTTTGGGGCGACGGTGGCACAGGAGTTAAGTGCTCGCCCCGTAATCGGAAGGTTGCAGGTTCGAGGCCCGCTCAGTCTGTCGCTGTCGTTGTGTCCTTGGGCAAGACACTTAACCCACGTTGCCTGCTGGTGGTGGTCGGAGGGACCGGTGGCGCCAGTGCTCGGCAGCCTCGCCTCTGTCAGTGCGCCCCAGGGCAGCTGTGGCTACATCGTAGCTCATCCCCACCAGTGTGTGAATGTGTGTGTGAATGGGTGAATGACTGATTGTGTTGTAAAGCGCCTTGGGGGGTTCTAGGACTCTAGAAGGCGCTATATCAAATACAGGCCATTTACCATGTTTCTGGATTTTGGTTATGTTTCATCTTCAAATCATCAGCATCCCTCATTCGGATGCTGCTTTAAAATCTTTTTGGAGAAATTCTGCCAGCGGCAGCAGATGAAAAAGATTCTTGATGGTTCTTGTGCCTAAAGATGTCCATTATGTATTTAAATGAACGACTGGAAAAAAACTACAAATCCACATCCACCATTTATTTCTCTACCCCAAATCAGCATTTTCACAAAGAAAGAAAGAAAGAAAGAAAGAAAGAAAGAAAGAAAACTATCTTTTTTATAGTGTCTCATGATTCACAAGAACAAAAATTTTAAACTTTTAAAGAATTTGTAAAAAATTATTAAAAATAAAAAATTAGAAAAAATTGTGATTAGAATGTGTAGAAAGGAAAGTAACAGGAAAGAGGGAAATCAGTGGATCCCGTGAAATGCGGAATTGGTAGAAAAAGCAGAATAAGGAGAGGGTGATGAAGGTCACACCAAATCCAGCTTGAACAAGTGAGTCTTCAGCTGCGTTTTAAAGGAGACCACTGAGTCCACTGATCTCAGGCTCAGGGGGAGAAAGTTCCAGAGTCTGGGGGCCACAGCAGCAAATGATCTGTCATGTTTGGTCTTTAGCCTGGTGCTGCACAACCAGTGGGCTTTGATCACTGGACCTCAGGGACCTGCTGGGGGTGTAGGGACAAAGAAGATCACCAATGTAAGATGGTGCTTGTCCATGTAAGGCCCTATAGACCAGAACCAGGATCTTGAAATGAGCCCTGAAGCTGACTCGCAGCCAGTGAAGCTGGAGGAGAAGCGGGGTGATGTGGGTGTGTTTGGAGGACTTGGTCAGAAGCCGAGCACAGGCGTTCTGAACCACCTGTAGACGGTTCAGGGAGGTTCTGCTCAGACAACCTCTACCTTCACCATACGCTAAAGGATTTTCAGCGTTAATTAAAATTAAAATTAAGGATTTTCTCATGTACCATGTTCAGCGCCTTGGGCTTCCCAACAGGGTCGCGGAAGGTGCTTCATAAATAAAGCTTTGTTTGTTTGTTTGTTTGTTTGACATGCGAAAAGAGAGTTACAGTAGTCTAAGCGTGAGGAGATGAAGGTGTGGAGAACTGTCTCAAGTTCAGAGCGGGACAGAATGGGACTCAGCTTAGCAATGTTCCTGAGATGGAAGAAGGAAGAGTAAACAAGAGAACTAACATGAGAAACCAGGGTGAGAGCTGGGTCAAAGGTCACACCAAGAACCCTGACAGAGGATTTGGTGTGAGAAGCAAGCTGACCTAGAGAGTCTCTGACTTTGGGAACCAGCTTGTCTGGGGCACAAATGAGGATCTCCGTCTTATCTTCATTCAGCTGAAGAAAGCTCCCAGCCATCCAGGTTTTGATAGAGTCTAAGCAGGTGTGTAACTGCTGCAGCTTAGACATCTCCTGGGGCTTAAAGGAGATGTACAGTTGGATGTCTTCTGCATAAAGACGGTAGGAGATTCCTTTGAAGAAGCTCAGGATGTGCTGAAGAGGAAGCAGATAGACGAGGAAGAGCAGAGGCCCCAGCACAGAACCTTGTGGGACACCATGTGTAAGAGAGGTGGTGGAGGACCTAAACTTGGAGACGGCCACAGAAAAGGAGCGCTCAGAGAGATAAGAGGAGAACCACTCCAGAGCAGTTCCTGATAGGCCTACCCAGTCTCTCAGCCTCTCCAGTAGCAGGTGATGGTCAACAGTGTCAAAGGCTACAGTCAGGTCCAGCAGGACCAGAACAGAACAGTCCCCTGCATCACTGTGTGTCAGAAGGTCATTAGAGACCCTAAGAAGAGCTGTTTCAGTAGAAACAATATAACTATATTTCTATATTTTTTTCTTTCCACGTCACAGAAAGCAGAACCCACAGAGACCAGAGCACCAGAACTGGAGGGAGATACATGCTGCCATGGCTCTCACCAGCTTGGCCCAGGATAAGACCTGCACGGCCAACCGGAGCTTCACCTGGAAGCCCCTCTCCACATCCGGGACCACTCTCACCAGCAGGATGACTGTGACTGAACCAGAGCAGACCACAGAGACCACTCTCACCAGTCGAGTCATTCAGAAATCCTCTCATATCTCTGAGATCCAGACTATCAAAGTTGTTCAGATAAACAGCGGGTAGGAATTAGAAAAACATTTCAAAACCACCTCTAACAGTTTTATAATACACTCATTATTTTCAAATGGAAAACTCTAAACACCAACCTGATTAAGCTTAAATCACATCCTACTTTTACAGTAAAACTGATTTATAAGAGGCTGGCTCATCATCCAATGTTAAGGTTATTTTAATAAAGCCAATGTGAAGTCATCTGGACATCTTTTATGCATTAAATGATTATTTTTACTGCACTGAGTTTCATTATAGCCTTCCATGTTAGAATTTCAAACTGTTAGACTGATAGGGCCAGATGACTACTTCCGTGTTTAGCCTGAATGTGAAACTCAGAGTGACCAATCGTGCTTCAAATTCAAGTAAAATCAGTTTCCCAATGAACTTAAACTTGAAGTATTATAACATTTTTAACATGAGATAACATACAGTACTGGTAAATTTTAAATTGCTATCTATTGTATAGTTTTTGATTCAGCACCCCATACATGAACCAGCGTAGATTGTTGAGGCAAGAGGGTCAGGTGGATACCTGCTAAAGGATCCAGTCAGTATGTATATTTGGTATCTATATGAGTGATTTAACCCTGTCAGGCTCACAAGAAGTTTTGATAAAAGGACGAACAACTAAGTCCTTCAGGGGTACTTCTGAGTTAAAAATGCTCATGGAACACGTGTGTGGAGTAACCAGTTAGGTAGGTTTTAATGTTGCAAATCTGCAACGCCTTCCTCCAGAGGGTTAATGTAGTCTCCTCTCATATCAGTGCTTTGTTTGAGAAGTCAACTTTATTTATAAAGCACTTTACAACAGCATAAAAGCTGACCAAAGTGCTTAACTAGCCAAAAAGAACAGAAGTTCCCTAAAAATTCTAAAAATAAGACAAAAATTTCATCACAAAACATGATAAAAACAAACATATCAAACTGACATAAAAGCTACTAAAACAGATGCATTCTCAAACTGAATTAAAAGCAGCTGAGAACAGACGAGTCTTTCAAAGTGATTTAAAACCCGACAAGACGAAACCATCCTAATCTGAACCTTGGAGCTGCTACTGAGAAAGCTCCATCACCCCTGAGCTCTCTCTTTGTTCCAGGAGAAACTGGCCGGCCGACCTCAGCGACCGAGACGGGGAGTGAGTAACTAAAAGTTCACAAAGACACTGCGGAGCAAGGCCAACTTCCTTCACTCAGAGAACGTTTTAAAATAGCGGTCCATCACCCAGACACCAAATTTAAATTTATATTTACATGGGAACATCTGGTAAATACTGAGATTTTCCACATCCTGATTTATGTCTGCTAATGTTTTCTGAAGAGAAACAAAAACCTCACCTGCTCCCCATCAGTCTGACGTCTATAAGACCCAGAGACAAATGACAGCACGGGGTTGGGTGAGGGTCATATTGTCAGGCAGTTGTTTATTGTAGTTTGAAACAATTCAAGCAGTAACTGACCACATCTCTGACTAACGTCTCTCACCGTTAAAGGCGGTTTTCAGTCTGACAACTTGAATATGACCGACACAAAAATGCAGCTAACTTACTAGTTAAACAACATTTCTAGCAAAAGCGAAAAGAAATCACAGAATATCTCCAATATTTCTGAAAGATGTTAGGAACAAAACACGAGTTTGTGTGAGAAACGCGAGAACCCGGAAGAGGAAAAAACAGAAAAAGTGAATAAGTGATTTCAAACTAGTAGATGCTGTCAACATAACACACACTATCAATGAAAAAGTCAAATAGGATCACGCATTTGGAATAAAGACGAAGCAAGAATGTTGGAAAATAAGTCGACACCCTGGAGCATCAAATCAGCTGATGAAACGAAACGGTCAGTAAATAAAACAACATGGTCTCTGGGCAGGTTCATGAAATCAGAGCTCTTCATTAGTAAATGGACGAGCATAAACAGCTTTTAGTGATCGCTTTCAATCCAAACAGGAAGCTGTGTTTTAATAAAAACTCAGATTGATGTTGTGTGCGTGTCTCCATGTGAGTAAATATGGAGCAAACTCAGACCTGTTGGATTTAATTAGCCTGATAGGTGGAATTAAAGGACTCGGATTATTTCTATTAATGTCTTTGTGCTACAGGCACCTGATGCAATGAATAACTAAATTCAAACCAGACATCCTGTGACTTCCTTGTCAGGGTTAATTTCATTTAAAACGTTGCATTTCTACAAATGAGATGCCTTCCCTGCACAATTTCCCCTCCAACACATTAGTGAGGTAAAAAAAACATGAATTGTGCAAACAGCAGCGTTCATTCCAGCAGATCTTCAATATTTACGAGGCTCATCCTTTACCACTCTCTCAGGTCTTTTAATCAGGGTTTTATTTTAAGTTTCTTTAGTCCAGTTTCAGGGTATAGAACAGTATCCCCCACAGGCCCTCCCTCTGCCTGGATCCTGGTCCTTCAGCTGGAACGCCTGACCCTGGTGTTCACTCTCCCAGAGTCCCGGAGTCTGGAGGATTTTCTCCACAAGCTCTTCAAAGGCACACTGGACACCGTCTTTGGTTTTTGCGCTGGCCTCTGAGAAAAAAAAACATCAGTAAAATTGAGAACGAGAAATAAAATAATAAAATTCTTAAAAGCAAACTAATATTAAACAAACTTCTATTCTAAAACATGTCTTTAAAGAGCAAGTCACCCCTGCCTGAGTCTTACTCCACCTACATCTAGATCAAGCCCCCACAATGAGGCTCTAAAATTGGTCTCAACCCGGAAGTACCAAAAATTGCAGTTCCACCCTCATCCGCTGGGGGCTGGTGTCAGAGGCGAGCAAATCCTCATTGACTCCCATGTTAAAAATACCAATTTCACAGCAGAAATAAACATGTTTACAGCCTGGTACCAACACATGTTTTTGGTTTAAATGATCTAGTTTACACTCATGACAACTCTGAGGGGGGTGATTTTTTTTCTCACTCTTCTGTTTAAGTGTATTAAAAGCCTAAAATTCTGTATAATTAATGAGCATCAGATCCACGTGACCACAGAGCTAGCTCCAGGGAAAGTCCTCAGTAGAGCCTCGGTCTGGTCTGAAAACTGCTCTGGGTTTTTGAGTCTCTGTGTTTGTGTATTCTTTTTTAGATATTTTTTGTGCAATTGTTGGACAAAATGACTTGCTGTGGCATTCCCTCTGGGATTAATAAAGTATTTTTGAATTGAATTGAATTAATTGCACTAATAGAGCGTCCAAGGAGTCTCCACTTCATTTTTTTCGGTAAGTAAAATTATATTTATGTATTTTAGGTCACTGCTGAGCTGAGCTTAGATTTTAACATGTACTGTTTAACCATGAAATTTAAATGTAATAGGGTAAAACCCAGTGTATTTAACATAATGCTGCACTTTAGAAAATGGGTTGAAATATAACATGTTGGTGGAGCTGGGTTCCCACTATCGGCTTGTGGAGCTCTCGGGAGACCGGTGTTTTCCACCCGTTCTCCCCTCCCCGCAGCTCGGCGCATCTCTGCCTGATCGCGGCTTCTGTCTGCTGCGCGGGCTGCCGGCTTGTGGAGCTCTGGATGGAAACTGATGTTCTCCACCCGGTTCTCCCCAGTGGCAGCTCTGCGCATCTCAGATCGCAGCGGAGCTTGTCTGCTGTGTGGCTGCCGGCTTGTGGAGGTCTCCGGAGACCTCTGTGTTCCACCCTGTTTTACCCAGCGGTCAGCCCGGCGTATCTCTGACTCTGAAGCTCTGGTGTTGTGCACAGTTAACTCCGGTTGTAGCTAGGTTGCTACCTCCGTTAGCTTAGCTCCCACCTCCACGTTAGCTTGTAGCTAGTTCGACCGGGTGTCGTCAGTTGATCCCAGCCTTACAGCCCCACCCTCAGCTCCACCTCTCTTCCCTTTTGTGGAATTGTCTGGGCTTGACGGAACCTGTGACACGGTCAAAATGGTGGTGGTGGCCACCTCCCATTTTTCTTCAAAAACGTGTAATTGGAGCCTTTGGAAACCCATTGTCCAATATTTATATGTTGATGATCTAGATAAATGCACCAAAAGGAGGCATCACAAATACCAGCTAGAGTCATATCACCTCTTAGCCAATAGATTCGATCCAACCTGAAGAGTGTGCCCCACTGATGGTTTTAGGCAAACCATTCAAACTTTAAATGAGATGCACTAAAATGCCAAAATAATGACTACACAGAAATGTTAGAGTGGGCCTATTATGCAAATCTGATTTTTTTTTTTTGCATCATTTTAGGCTCTGTTGGTCTAAATGAACACATTGCCTCTGACACCAGTACTTACCAATAAAAAGCATCGAGTGTTTCCTGGCAAATTTCAGTCCTTCGTTTCTGTCCACCTCACGGTCGTCCTAGCAACACACAACCACGCCAGCAGAAAACACCCTCAGGGTTGTAATCACAACTCATCATGTCGACGAAAACAAGTGAAACAGTATTCGTAAACTTACTTGATCGATTTTGTTCCCAACCAACATCTTCACGACGTCGTTGCGCGTCGAGTAGGTTTCCAGTTCGTTCAGCCAGTTTTCCAGCTTCATAAAAGAATCACGCCTCGTCACATCGTAAACTGACAAAGCAAAGCATTTATCATATCAGCTACACAGAATGCTGAGAAACCGTTTTACATTTAAATATTTCAGGACGAAAATCAGATTACAGTACGAGATAAAAATACACTCTAACATTAAATGCGGTTTACTTTAATCAGCTGCAGTTCTTAAAAAAATGTGTTCACACCTCTTAACTTTCTAACATAGAATAGCTATAAATTTATTGTGAAGATTAAAAAAAATTCAATGAAGTGGTTATCTCGTATCTGTCTAAAAACCTCCATCAATGGCTGTTTTCAGGCCGAAAGCAACCATTGGACCATCCAGTTGTCAGTCTCGTCAAACCACCGCTCTTCCCTGGGTCCTCCATTCAATACGCACTCACATATTTAGCAACAGAACGCCGCTGGTGTGAAAGGTTCTCAGCTCAGTAACATCAGAGAAAGAGAAACATTCGGCTACTACCACTTCAAATTTAGGACAAACTACCAGAGTCCCAAAAAGATAAACACCTTTTGAAGACACGGACAACAAAAGACGTTTGAACCCAGAAAACAGCGACTGGTTTTTAGACCCATTTCATTTCCCCCAGCATTGCGGCTCTCTGGTTCCGGCAGAAGCAGTACAGGAAAGATACCCAAGAGGAGGGGTGAGTGTTTGCATTCAAAACCTAGCTTGTTCTGTAGATCGCTGAAGCAGCTTCAATGTAGTGATGTGTCGGTCGCGAGCGAATCGGCTCTAAGAGCCGGCTCTTTGAAGTGAACGACGGGAGCCGGCTCATCATTGGGAGCCGTCCCCTCCCCCCTCCCCTCTTGCTTTGGTGAAAGCTACAGGCGATTGGTCAACCTGTGTAACTGCGTGTCCAGACTGTCCACACACAGAGCAGTAGGGGTGGGGAAGAGGGAGGATCAGACTCAGACACAGCAGAGCACATGCGGGCGGAGGGAGAGGAGAGGGAATGAGAAGGAGGAAAAAGGCGAGCGAGAGGGAGGAGAGTGCGATGAAGACGGTGAAAAAATGAGCGACAGCAGTTGGAAAGTTGAGATTTCTTAAAATGTTCAGTTATTAAATCCATAGAAATGATAAATATTTGATATATTGCATGTTTTTACATTAGTAAATCATTTTACATATAGTTTACCAATATTTTGGTTATAAATGTACTCTACTCAACAGAAAATCTGAGGAGCCACTTGGGAGCCGAAAGAGCCGGCTCTTTTTGGTGAGCTGAGCCAAAAGAACCGGCTCTCTAAAAAGAGCCGGAATTCCCAACACTACTTCAATGACTGGTTGCAACAACTTAAATCTTTCATGAAAATCAACGAGTCTCACATCTCTGTGGAGGAATTTTGACCTACTCTTCTTTAATAATTGTTTTAATCCAACCAAGCTGGAGGGTTTTCCAGCATGAATGTTTTGTTTAAGGTCAAAGGTCAGAAATTCTCCTTCAGGAATTTCTGCAAGAGAGCAGTGGTCCAGCTCCTGAACCAGCAAAGAAGCCTTAAACCATCACACTACCACCACCATGCTTGACCATTGGTATGTTTTTGTTTTAGTGTTATTTTACGCCAGATAGATCGGGACACACACCTTCCAGAAAGTTCCACTTTTGCCTCAGCAGTCCACAAAATATTTTCAAAAAAAGGCTCAGCAAGATGATTTCTAAGCAATAGTGAGATGAGCAATTGAAGTTTGTTCCCTTCTCTCCTGGATGTCATTTTTATCAGAAAATAAATGACGCAAAATAAATGAAATCAGAATTTGATAACTGCATTTAAACAGAAGGGGGCAGAAAAGCTGTGACTGTAGAGCAAATAAAAGCAAAAACATGACAAGCTCTTTAGACTAAATCTTAAAAGTATCAGCTTTCTTTACCAAGAATGACTCCCTGAGCACCGCGGTAGTAGCTGGGTGTCAGAGTACGAAACCGTTCTTGTCCAGCTGTATCCTATTAAAAAAGGAACACAACAGAATAGATCTTTCAGAACAAACAAGGTAGAATATTTATAATAAAAACACTGAGGCCAAAGTTACTTTAGAAGGCTCATCATTCTTAAGACTTTGTAAACATTAATAATAATTATTAACACATTAAAACTTCTTTTTATGGGAAAATTGCACAATTTATGTTCCTATAATAGTGACTAGGTTGTTTTGCCTTTTCTGATATGTAATGTCGCCCCCTAGTGGAGGGCTGTAGTGAAACTTACCCAAATAGCTAGCTTTGCTCTGTTCCCTTCTATAGAGAGTGTCTTTACTTTGAAGTCCACACCTTATGAGTCACAGGGGGAAAATAACGGACAAAAACATTTATTTAATATATTTTTTAGAATCCAACTGTTTCCATTTGTATGTTTTAATGGTGGCTTGTTTGTAGGACCTATAGTAGCGGACTGCTCTGGATCAAAAGTATCGTCTGTGAACCTCAAGAGGAGGCTGTTGAGGGAAATAACAAAGATCAGATACAAATAAGCAGGGCATACATCACAACAGGCTAGCATGACAAGCTCTAAAAACCTGAATTCCTGCTAGATCATACAGCTCTGAAGCTAGCCGGTGTTGTGCCAAAGTAGTTACCCCCATCAAAAATTGTTTCCCCATTCACGGAACCAGACGTGATCATGGAAACACGCCGCTCTCCGGTGAATTTACACTCGGTTTACACTTTGTTTTTGTTGGCGTTGCTATCACGAAATAGTTTATTTATGAAATCAAACACAGTATAACCAATAACTACAGTAACGTTGCAGAGTGTTTCTTCACAGCAAAAGTTAAGGAGGAATACAGATTTTATCAGGCTGTGTGGCCTCGGCTGCCAAAATAAGTCACAGTATAACTAATAACTACAGAAACTTTGGAGAACATTTTGTTTTTTTAGGCTTCTCAATTTAACGTTTAATGTTCTCCAAAGTTTCTGTAGTTATTAGTTAAACTGTGACTTATTTAGCAAATAAACTATTTCGTGATAGCAACGCCAACAAAAACAAAGTGTAAACCCAGGGGAAACAATTTTTGACAGGGGTAACAACACCGGAAGTGTTTTATGTTAGAGTATTACTAAAAAGTTTCAAAACTATAGGCGGACTGTGGGAAAAGTTATACTTAAGTAGAAAAAAAAACATCATCAGCTGCTGAGCAGACTTACACAACACTGTCAACATCCAGTCACAAGCTAGCAAAGTCCCCCACATACAGACACAAACCTGGACTTTCCGACTCCACTTTCTCCAATTATCAATAGTTTCAGAGTTGTCAACACGCCGTCGTCCATATTCCTTCCACAGCTTCTAGCAGGAGAAGCTCTGGCCTGAGCACTAAAGATGTTTAACTTGTTTTTAGAGCTACGGTCGGCCAACAACTCCGATGACAGTCTGCGGTACGCATGCGCACCTTCCCCTTGATTGTTCACGCGTGATTTACCGAGAATTCACGAGAACTCAGACAAAGTTTAAAACAAAAAAAATCCAAATGTGAAGTTTGACCTCTACACAACTGTTCTTTCTCATTTATTTGCAATATTCCAGTTAAATACACAGCTTTGGATTAACGCAACACTATAACAAAGAACTCCCAACTATATTTACATTTTTCAAATACATCATTTTTGATATTTGCAAGGAAAGATTTGTCAGTATAATGACAAATATAGTATGACAGTATACTGTGTACTATTAATAAAATCGTTGTAATAAAAATTTTAAATGACTTCTGGTGTATTATCGTAACAGATAATAAATAAATTAAATATTTAAGCAATCATGCCAATCATGCCAAAGGAAATCTACCAGAGATCTTAGACTGGATTCTCTAGGAAAATCATAGCATTTCAATTATTGTATATCAAATAATGTATAATATATGTGTGACAGTGTGAGCGTCCTGTCACAATGTCCCGATTGATCATGCGTCCTGGCTTCTTGGCCAAGGAGGTGTCCCTTTGGCTGACTGGTTAGAGTGTATGACTCTCACCCAGGAGTCTGGGGATCGAATGCCGCCCGGGCCCTCGTTTCTCCACCTTGCCACATATGTATTCTTAAAAAGTGAATACTACAGTAGCTAAATCATGTCGCAATGCATTGTGGGATGTAGTCCTAGACAACCAAGTGTGTATATTTGGTGGGTGCCTAAGCGTTTGGGTCTGAGTCGCTCCGCACATCTCAAACTCATAAGAACTTAAAGAAAATGTTATTTGAGCGCTGTGAGTTATGAGTAACTGTTTGAGCATAAATGTTTGAATATGGTGTCTGTCAGATTGTTTTTTAGCGCAGTCCAAGCGCTCTGTCCGCGTATTTTCAATATTCTGCAGCACAAGCTAATAGTAGAAAATCAAACCGCTGTCGGTACAGGATCTGCTCGCGTGCAAGATTGGCTCGGGGTCCTTCGACTGCTGATGTGTAGTGTGTTTTGTCCGAGTGGGTTTGCCGTAGTTTGACGTCATCGGCAGTCGAAAGACCCCGAGCCGATCTTGCACCCAAGCAGATCCTGTACCGACACCGGATTATAATGTGGGCAAACTGGACACAGGCCCAGGGTCCCACAGCCACAAGGGGGACCACGAAAGCAGCAGCCTTTTTATTTATTTACTTACTTACTTATTGTGCAGCAGTCTTAACGTTGGAGAGAAATTCCTTCAAATTTCAGACATATATCAAATGCTTAATTTGTAAATCAAACGTCCTGGAACGCAAATGTCAAACCAAAGTACCCCTGAAGGACTTAGTTGTTCGTCCTTTTATCAAAACTTATTTTGAGCCTGAGAGGGTTAACATGTTGAGAATATTTTATTTTGTGATGTTTCTGATGTTTCATATTAATTTCTAATAATTATATGATCTCTAATCATTTTGTGATTGATGTTGGTTTATTTTCCTGAGCTGAGTGCCTGTCTAACACTCATGGTAGGAAACGTTTTGCATTTAGCAAAGAAAATCACATTGATGGTTCTGTTTTCAAATTATTTCATCAAATTATTGTCACAGTAAAAAATATGTATAACATGTAAGAGATCACCACCACTGTTAAACAGATACAAATCTGAAGCCCGCAAGGATGCTGTCCTACGCTGCGTGATTCTGTCCTGCGTGAGACACTCCCAAGTCTGCCAGTTTGGCTCAAAAGTTTTCTCAAAACTAAATAAATATATTTAGGTACAAGTTTTTACCAGCATATATGAATGGTCTTCAATCAAACATTGTCAGATAACTTGGTTCAAAGACCCAATTTTATCCGTTAGACACTAAAGACATTAAATTTTTTTTTTAATGTCCACATTTTGTTTTAAACAGGAAAAGCATTCATGTATTTAAACTACTCAAATAAAAACAACAAAAGCAGCCAGTAACAGAATAGAAATTCAATTAATTTTTAGTGTTTGTTCCGTTTCTAAATAATCTACTAATTTCTTTACCTGTAATCAGTCGTTTGATTTGTTGATGGCCACACACACTGTCACGTACTTTGATGTTTTTATTATTTAGGTCAACTGGATGAAAAGAATTTTGAATTTGTTTCTGCCCTCTAGTGAACAAAAGCTGTTACTACAGGTATCGTTTATTAAGCCAAACCGCACTTCCTGTAGATTCCTTCAAAATAAAGTACTACGGGTTTTAAATAAGTGGTAAAAGCGTAGTTTGTCTAAAAATCTGGAAAGCCATGTCTTCTCTTATACAATCTACTTAACTACTAAAACTCAATAAATCTGTTTATTATCTGTGTTCAACAAGATAAAGCAGGAACTAGCTAGCTCCAGCACTACAAACATATCAGATCATACGGTAGATTAATGTGCGACTGGTATTTCTGGCCGGTTACTCACCCAATCACGGCTGGAGATGGGCTCCCCATGACCCCGGTGAAAAATAAAGCAGTTATGTACATGCGGGAGGGAGGTACGCAACTTTTTTCAGACATATCTGGTTAATTTCTGCAGCTTTAAGAAAATGAATCCAAACATTCTCTCTACCCAAACACATACAGCTTCAGTTTGTATTCATCTTTATTTCAGCAGCACATGAACCGTCATCCCACCGTTGACAAGATCTACAGCAGAGAGTCAGAGTGTACACAGCATAAAAGCATTATTGTACATTTATATACAACGCCCCCTTCAGCCAGTCATTTTTACACATGCCAAACCAGATACAGGAGGTCAGAGAACCTAAAACCTTACAATACTCCTTAGTGAAAAGTTCTCTTGTTCAGCTTTCTTTGTCTCACAGCTTTTTTCCTGCAGAACAAAATAACTGAACAGGAGCAGCTTTAACCCACTGAAAAGTGCAAATTCTGTTTAAAAATACAGACAACAGGAAGCAGTAGACGCAGGTGCAGAACTGACCTTGTGGTTTAGTTACATTAAAGCTTAAAATGTGTTGAAAAGCTCATTTAAACGCCAAATCGTCTGGTAAATCAGGCCAAAATGTAGATAATAAAGCACTGAAAATGCACGGCGTTTTCTTTTCAACACGGTGCTGGGATCTAAACGCGATACACACTGTGGTTGGGGGGTACATACTCTGGCAGATTCTACAGTTTTAAACGGAGAAACATGGAGATAGATGACAAATGTTCACAACATCTACCTTTAACCTAATGGAAATCAGCTGCAACGTCCAGATCCTGTCACTAACAAATAAACGCTCATCCAGATGTTTTCATATGTCTACACACAACTTCGATTCTCCTCCTCTGTCTAATGAAGCACCCATCCCTGCTGACTTCATCTGCTCTCCAGGGGTTTTCCCTCCAGGACCAGCTGGATCTCTTTGGCGTCCAGCGTCTCGTACATCAGCAGAGCGTCTGCCAGGCTCTTGTGCTCCTTGGCGTGGGACTTCAGCAGGGCTTTGGCTCGATCGTACGACTCCTGAAGACACCCAGTGGAGAGAGATTACGGAAACAAAAGCCTAAACTTTTAGATTTGATTAATTTATTAAAAAAAAAAACAAATGAGGCAGACCTTCAGTAACACCCTGACTTCGTGCTCCACAGCAGCTTGTGTCTCAGGACTTAGTTCAGTCATGTCGGAGAAGGTCATGACACCCAGCTGAGAGGCAGAAGGGCACATATCGGATCTTTTTCCCCATGATTTTTGATTTTTAGCAAACCATCTTCTGACTTGTGGAGTCAACCTGATTTACAACAGTGTTGGGTCTACCTTTTCACACATCCCATATCTGGTCACCATCATCCTGGCAATCCTGGTGGCACTGTCAAAGTCGCTCGAGGCTCCTGGAGAGGAAGAGATCACACTCCCAATCTCGTTTTTCATACGTTAAAGTATTCTTCTTCAGTATTTATCTTTGTTTATTCTTCACGTCTTTTCTTCCTTCTCCGCCTCTGGGCGCTCCATCCTCACCTGTCGTGATGTTTTCATGTCCAAAAACGATCTCCTCTGCCACACGCCCCCCCATGCTAACATCCATCTGAGCCAGGAGCTGAGAGCGAGTCTCGCTCCACCTGTCGTTCTCTGGAAGCATCGACACCTGGAAGCAGAGGGAGGATGGAAGACGTTTTATCAGAAGAAAAGGGTCCAGGTTGAAGAACATATGGCAGATCTGGATTTCCCTACATGTCCCAGACTGGGGCCTCTGGGCATGATGGTGGCCTTGTTGATCGGCATGGCGTCTTTGGTGTAGTAGGCAACAATCGCGTGACCCGATTCATGATATGCTGTGATTGTCTTGTTCTTTTCGTCGATTTCCGCGCTCCTCCTCTCAGGTCCTTCAGGAAAAAAAAAAAAAAAAGAGGGAAAATGAATAAGAGCGATGCGAGAGCAGGGATCCAGGGTCAGCCGAAGGTTTTACAGACCCATGAGGATTTTGTCTTTGGCAAACTCGAGCTCCTTCATGGAGACCATGTCTTTGCCGTCGACTGCTGCCTTCAGGGCCGCCTGGTTGACCAGGTTTTCCAGGTCAGCTCCGGAGAATCCCACTGTGCCCCGGGCAATAACATTGGCCTCAATAGCTGCAGAGAAAACGCAGAACCAAACTGACTTGGCCCCAATCACCGGACATTAAAACGCGAGCATTTACTGTATCAAACGCTAACGTCTGACCTGGATCTACTTTGATTTTCTTCAGGTACCAGTTGAGAATCTCCGTTCGCCCTTTCACGTCTGGTTTGGGAACAGTCACCTGCATGTCGAAACGACCCGGGCGGATGAGGGCACTGCGAAGGAGATCGGTTAGAACGAGACTCCGACACAACTCTAGCGTTTGTGTAGACCATTAGAGCTGGCCGCAGAGACGTACTTATCCAAGGCTTCTGGGAAGTTGGTCGCCCCGATGATGATCACGCCCTCGTTGGTTTTAAACCTACGAAATAAAACCATCAGCATGTGAACGCACCGTGAAGTGCTTCAGAGTCCCCGACTTAACACAGTGTCATACCCACTTATTAGGCACAAAACTGCTAGTACTTTTCAGGTTTTCATCATTTGTTTTCTTTAAGGCTCTGGATGTTATGGGGCTGTGTTGGCTGACATGGCTCTGCAACATCGCGTGGACACCGGGGGCAGTTCCACCGGACTGGCAGCCCGGGGCGGTGGTCCCCCTATTTGAAAAAGGACCACAGGACGTGTTCCAACTACAGAGGGATCACACTCCTGAGCCTCCTTCCCTAGTGAGGTCTATTCAGGGGTTCTGGAGAGGAGGGGTCATATTTGTAAAACCTCAGATTCAGGAGGAACAATGTGGTTTTCGTCCTGGCTGTGGAACACTGGACCAGCTCTACACCCTTAGGGGGTCGACCGCATCCCTCGGGGCACCCTGTGGGGGTACTTGGGGAGTACGGGGTACCAGACCCTATGATACGGGCTGTTGGGACCCTGTATGACCGGTGTCAGAGCTTGGTCAGCATTGCTGGCAGTAAGCTGAGCTCAATCCCGGTGAGACCTGGATTCCTCCAAGGCTGCTGATTTACCGGTCGATCTACGTTCCTACCCTCACCTATGGTCACGAGCTTTGGGTAGGGACCGAAAGAACGAGATCGTGGATACAAGCGGCCGAAATGAGTTTTCTCCACAGGGTGTCTGGGCTCTCCCTTAGAGATAGGGTTATAAGCTCGGTCATCCAGGAGGAGCTTGGACTAGACCCGCTGCTCCTCCACATCAAAAGATGCCCATTGAGGTGGCTCGGGCATCTGGTCAGGATGCCTCCTGGACTCCTTCCTGGTGAGGTTTTCCAGGAACGTCCAACTGGGAGGAGACCTAAGGGAAGACCCAGGACACGTTGGAGGGACTACGTCTCTCGGACGGCCAGGGAACGCCTTTGGATTTTCCTGGAGAAGCTGGCCCAAGTGGCTGGGGAGAGGGAGGGAAGTCTGGGCCTCTTGGCTCAGGGTGCTGCCCCTGCGACCTAACCCTGCATCATAACTTACACTTCCCAGAGCAACGACTGGCTCAACATATGATAAAATATTACTGCTGGCACTACTGAGATGTCATTTTTCCTGAAATATAAGTTATTTTCATGAGCCAATACTCATACCTGGAAATAAGACGCTTTGATTAGATGAAACCCCGCCTCCACCCATTCCATAAAGTAACACTAGCTCAACCAGCAAAGCAGCTGTTGCAACACGCCAGCAGCAGTGAACTGGTTGTCAGAAGCACTGGGACACTGTCCAGTGGCCAACATGCCCCACTTTATCAAACATCGTGTTTCTGGTCTAGTTCTAAGCTGCAGGACCCCACAGAGGGTAGAAATCACGAGTGTTTATCGGTGTTTTAAAGCTACTTTATGGTAAATGCCCACTTGTGTTCTAGAAAGCAAAGGAGGACCAGAAATCCTAAATAACCCCATACAAGACTGGTTAAAACGTTAATGTTTTAGTCTCAGGTGAACAGCTTGGTGTGTGAAGAAAGCTGCCTGAGCTCGAACTAGCCACACACTCGTCCATTGTGCGTGTGACCGAGTAAAGATCATTTCTGAGAGTACCCGTCCATCTCAGCCAGCAGCTGGTTGATGGTCTGTCTGGAGTACGGGTGCATGGGAGACTCTATCCTCTTCCCGCCAACGCTGTCCAGCTCATCGATGAAGATCACGCAGGGAGCGTTAGCTTTAGCCTCCCCTAGCAACAAGGAGCCAAACTAAAATCAATTCTGTTCCTGGACATATTAAAACAACTTCACAGACAAGCTAAGAAAAGACCAAACCTACTGAAAAGGTTCCTGATGCGGCTGGCTCCTACTCCGACAAACATCTCGTCGAACTCTGACCCAGAGGCATAGTAAAACGGCACAACTGCCTCTCCGGCCACTGCTCTAGCCAAAAGCGTCTTCCCCGTCCCCGGAGGACCAACGAGCAGGACGCCTTGACGAAGAGGAAGTAACGGTGAGGAGGAGAAAGAACTGAGCTCTCCCGCCACAAACACCGGCCCACCTTTAGGCAGCTTTCCTCCCAAGGCTGTGAACTTCTGAGGGTTCTTCAGGAACTCCACCACTTCCTGCAGCTCATTCTTAGCTTCCTCCACTCCTTTCACATGCTCGAACGTCACGTTTTTCATCTGGACCGGGTCCACAGCTGAGTCCAGACCTGATGTGGCTCGGAACCGCACTGTCCAACATGATTAAAGCCAGGGCTGAACGACCGTAGGAAGGGACTGAAACGTCAGTTTTCTGGCAGAAATTGCGATTTCAATTCGATTCGCAATTTTTCTTCTAATCAACCTTCAGCACGATATTCATGACGTACCGTAACATCTACTAACACGACAGGAAATGACATCACACCATCAAAACATTAAAAGCTATTACTCTAGTATTGCAACGCAGCTTTGACTCACGCCGTCGCTGGTTTGAAATCGCAATTTCGACCAGAAAACAACAAATGGTTCAGCCTTAAAGACAAAACTCACACAACGTCACATAAAACAGGCAAAGAGTTCATCGGCAACCACAACGCAAACGTCTGACGCCACTTTTATTAGCCAGCTGGTCAACAAACACCGACTGGATTTCATCTGAGCGGAGCGTGAGGAAGAAGAGCTTTTACCTGACATGAAGGGCGTTTTGGAGATGCCGTAGAGCCCAGCCAGGAGCAGCACCAGCAGAATCAAACGAGTCCTCCTCAGAGAATCTGAGCAACCAGAAGAAAACTCACCAGTGACATCTGGTCTGTGGTGGCCTGCTGAATGACTCACTCAGCTCATGTGGATTAAAACTCACCCTGGGTGCGCTGCGTTAAGGCTTGAGCTTTAAGGAAACCCTCAGCAAAGCCCCTCTTGAAGGCCTCCTGCTGGCCGTCAGGGATGTTCTTGTTCTTCAGCAGGCTGTCGAGACTTTCAGCGTCGACGCCCTTATCGCGGGTTAGGAAACCCTGCAGCACAGAGAGACTCCTCAGCAGCGTCCCTCCTCCTCTGCACAAGGCTAACGCTCAGCTTCTGCCCGTTTGAGCCGATCAGTGGTGGAAATAACCGCGAGTGGCAGTGGAAAGGTACATGAAACTGTGATCACCTAAACCGAGTAGACTCTGAGATCAGAGAACTTTTAAAAGAGCGGTGATTCACACTGAAAGTATTCTCACGCTGAGCACTGGTCAGGTCACAAAACAACCTCTGCTTCTGCTAACGGAGGCCATCCAACAGCTAACGGATATGATGTCTGTTTCCACAGACCTTCAGAAGATCCAAGAGTTGAATCTGTGCTTTTCCCAAACAACACCAGGTTCTACCTGCGTCACAGCACTGAACCCGCCTCAGTGAACGTTACAAATGAAACTCTCATGGCTGCAGATGAGGATCTCGTCCCTGTTCTAGTCCTGCTAGACATCAGCGCTGCTTTGACAGTCCATCACAATATTCTCTCAGAAAGGCTCCAACATGACGTAGGGATCGAGGGAACAGCGCTAGGCTGGTTTAAACACGATCTGTCCGATAGACGCGTACTCACCACTTTCTTCTACCACTTCTCTCCAGCTGCATTAGTTCCTGTTACCTCAGCTGTCAGACTTAAGTTCTCTCCCTGTCGTTTTCTCCCCACTAGCGTGTTGCTGAGCTGTGATTGCCTTCTGGAGGCGGCCATCGCCTGGATATGAACTTTTACTTTCTTTAACATAGAATGTGCAAACCACTAGTTCATTAATATTTGGTGTGTGTGTGTGTGTGTGTGTGTGTGTGCCTGCTGTCTTCTCTAAAGCCGGGCGTACACCGTGCGACCTTTTCACTCGTAGCACTCAGCTTCAGCTCAAACTGTACGACTTCCTCGCAGGGCAGATCTCACGAGCCAGGCGCTCACACTGTACGTCTGGTAGCAACACGTCGGACCTAAAAATATGCTAAAAATAGCCGTTTTTACTCAACACGTCAGACTTTTTTGTCTTGTTTTGCCTGTTGTCCTTCGGGAGTGCTGCAGGAGGACACACAGGGATTTATGGGGGTTGGATGAGGAAAACGAAATAAAGAAAGTAAATCTGTGTTTTGTGATCAGTTTAATTTGACATGAACATGACAAACACGCTTTCTTGACAATCTTTGTGAGTAAAAAAACGTGTAGAAACAAAAACGAACAACGTGTGTTATTAGGGAAATAGCGAGCGGAGTTGATGCAGGATTGCGCATGCGCCGTGAGCGGTTCTGGTACTTTTTGGGTCGCAGCTGCTCGCAGCGCCGCTTCAACAGTGCGATACCCTCACGACTGCTGATCGGCAGCTGGTCACGTGGTGTTAATCGCCTCTCGTAACCCCCTGCACACTACACGACCGCTCGGCGCAAAACTCAACCCGATATCGTGGATTCTCGCACGAGTGGAAAATCGGCTCAAAAAAGTGAAAAAGTCGCACAGTGTACGCCCGGCTTAACACAGTGACACATGACTGCTCATACTGTATCAGGATCCGATGGGGGGGGGGGGGGGTGTTGTCCTGTTAAAGGACAGTTTTTCTCTCCACTGTCGCGACATGCTTGCTCAGCATGAGGACTGATGTAAAGTCTCTGATGCAACAGGTCAGCGACTCCGTGCAATCTGCTGGGGTTCCTTATATAGAACTATAACTTTATACTTGATCTCTAGTGGTATTTTAGCCCCAGTGGTGTCTAGCTATATGAAAGAAAATATTATGTTTTTGTATCTAAAGAAAATTCCTGCTTTCCTTGGGCTCACGAATGTATAGTCCTACAGCTACTCTCATGAATTGTTGTGATGACAGCCTAACTCCATCGGAAAAAGAATCTCAAGAATGGAGCTTCAGGTGTAGGTCCTCAAGGTGGAAGATCTGTGCGTGTGTATCGAAATTTGTGCGTGTGTATTAGATTTGTATGTGTAACTCTTGATTTGTAACTTGTGTTTACATTTTCACATGTAACTTCAGTTCTTACACACATAAATCACCTGGTAAACACGACCAAAACTACATCACACACAGATCAGTTTACAAGTACAAAAATCCTTTTGAGACTCTTTTCACACCTGACTGATTTGTGCGTACATGGTGCGTTTGAGCGCTGGGTGGAAGCTGGGAAATCCAAATTTCCTTTGGATTTAGTCTAAACATGTGTTGACAGGACAAATATGTTTTTCTGTGGGAAAACGTAGTATCTGAGGATCCTGTGGTTATAAAGGATAGACCTACATTTAATTTTTAAAGCGCAAGTCACCCCCAAATCAACTTTTTTTTACTGATAAACTATATAAATGTGTGTCTAATTGTGCTGCAGACACGTGTAGTCAGTAGTTTTGCACTTTAGTGCATTTAAGTAAAAAAATTTATTTTCTGCCTAAAACTGTCAGTGTTGTGCCGTTGTCAGGTAAAAACTCTGCACGAGATTTGAATTTAAAACTGCCACCGCTATTGGCTAAGAGGTACACTATGACATCAGCTGGTACATTATGATGTCACAATGCTGTTGTGAGCCAGTTTGTGTGTATTTGTTAACGGCTCCGTTCTCTCAGTCTGCTAGGCAACAGCATTTGTTGCATTTTTCAAACAGGAAGTGGGAGTTGAGTAAGAATCTGGCAGGGGGCGACTTGCTCTTTAATCATCTAAAATTGTTTATTTATACATATGTGTTTGTGAGCCATGAAAACGGAGTGAAAGGGTTATAACAAATGACTAATAAATGGCAGAGTGGTTCTCTGCCCGGAAAAACGCAGGGTTCAAAAGGAGAGAAGGCACGAGAAGATGGTACGGAATCATAGTCACACCCATCTCCTCACGGACCCCGGAAAAATGAAAAAAATGATGTTTTAGGTTTAGTGTGAAAACAAGTCCAGGAGTACAAATGCGCTTCACGAAAGTGAGGTCAACGAACCAGAAACAGAGAAAAACAGGGAAAATGGCTGCAAGTTCAGCGAACTTCAAATCCTTCCCTCAGGAGGAAAGAACCACCATAAATCTGGCCGTGTGGTAAGTAGCAGCTACGCTAGGGGAGAGGAGATTCTGTGCTGACGTCACATATGCGACGTGCCGATGTAATCATGCTAATTACAAACTTTTACAAGCTGATAAATCTCAAAGTGACTTGCGTGGTCGAAACACCATCATTACTTCTCATTTCAATTGCAGTACAACATATGTGCGATCCAGGGCGTCAGGCTAATCAGATTAGAAAATAGCTCTTTTAGCCCCGTTGACTTGCATTCATTTTCTCGTTCTCCTGGGGACTCGTGAGCCGACCGGAAAGGGAGGAGACTTATGCTCCCTATGGTGATCTTTCCTCTGATGTAAAAATTAAACCTGCACACTCTGCAGTCTGGTTATAGTGAGACGGCTATGACTTTAGACCAGGGGTGTCAAACTCATTTTAGCTCAGGAGCCACATTGAGGGAAATCTAGTCCCAAGTGGGCCGGACCAGTAAATTAAAAACAACTTCAGCAGTGGTGTGTCTAGATCTATTAAAATGGGGTGGCCCAGGTGAGGCACAACTTTGTGCATGGGTGGCACCAATGGTTATGCTTTTTTTTGTTTTACCTTCAAGCCTTTTGTAGACAATGAAAAGCCTGTTTAAAGGGAAATTAGTGTGGTGGCACCTGGGGTGGCCAATCAGATTCCAAGGGTGGCATGTGCTACCCCAGGCCACTCCCTGGACACGCCCCTGAACTTCAGATTGTTTTCTTTGTTTTAATACAATCAATATAAAACAAGGCTGGAGCCTGAGGACAGTGTATCCAAAATAGTACAAGTACAACACCTGAAGTGTACTTGAAAATTAAAAAAAAAATAAAAATCAATAAATGAAAAAAAAAAAAAAACATTCCTCAGTGATTCAAAGAGCTTTCAGATCACAAGGCTAGATCAGTTTCATGCAGCACTTAAAGTTTTTTTGACTCATTTTACTTTACATCTTTTAGCTTTCACCAGCACATCAACATCAGAAGTCACATCCTGAGTGGCGGCCAACTTCAGGATGTGATTCAAGTTCTTGTGTGAGCCTTGAGCGCAGCTTTGTTTTATTTATTCTCATTACAGAGAAAACTTGCTCACAAAGATACGTTTATTTTCACTCTACATTGTAAAGTATGAAAATAAAGTTTACACAACCATCTCGCGGGCCGGACTTAACCCGCTTGCGGGCCGGATCCGGCCCGCGGGCCGCATATTTGACACCCCCGCTTTAGACCATTTCAGATGGTTTACAGGGCTGACAGACTGATACTGTCCCCATTTCTGCAGGTTTTGCCCAACAGGACTGGACTAAAACAGGTCAAAACTCAGTCGGTGCCCAAAGAGAAACCTTCAGAGGCTCTGGAGAACATTAGCTTAAAACCACTTTTAAAAAGTCTGACTTTAAAACAAACTGGAGAAATGATGAGAAGCAAAAGCGTCGAGGAGTCGTCTGAATGAGGTACATTTAGTCAGAACCTACCTTAATGAAAGATGGTGCGTAAGCCTCCGAGTTGACAGGACGCTCGAAGGCCGACTGTACTCGTCTGGTTTTACTCCTCAACGTTTTAAAGCCTCGGCTCTGAAACAACACTTGAAAGCAGATGAAGTGGATTAAAATACAGCTACGTCCCTTTGTTCTAGATGAAAACATGTAAATAAAGTCAAACGTACTGAAACTACGTGTAAATGCTGTTAATGTACCTGGCCAGTGGTTCAGGTCTGTGCAAACAGTCCGAAGTGGTGAAAGGCGATTTTTTGAGAAGAAAACAGCCGATGGGTCCGTGGCGTTCCATGAGAAGCCTGTAGAAAACGGCCAGGACACAAAAATACTCTGATGTGTACGATCACAGACGTCACAACAGGATAACGACTCAAAAACACGGGTTTCTCCAACAAGCGAAGATGTTTATTCTCACCGTGTTTGTTATGAAAAAAGGAGTGAGTGGAGAGATACGAGGCCCTCCACGCTGTCTGGCCACCAACTGGAGGCGCCACATCGTCCGGGCTCAAACCTTTTAAAACCCGGTCCACCAGCTCATCCAGCTGCTGTTTGCCGAGATCAGAAAGTCCAAGTTCCCGCAGGTTCCACACGGACTGAGCACGTGAACACAGTAGGGAATGTGGAGCGTTACAAATCCAGACTGTTCCTTCATTTCTATCTTTGTTCATAGAATCAGCTGAACTAGTAAACATTTTAAAAAGCCTATTTAAAGGGACTTTACGGAGTTTTGAATTTTTATGCTCGCGATTGCCCCCTCAGGCCAAAAGCGTAATGGCAGCTTCAATAGTAGGCTCGTGCACAAGGCACGCATGCTGTACGTGCACACTCCTTAACGAAAATAAGAGCTGAGACAGTCCCGTGTGTGTGTGTGTGTGTGTGTGTGTGTGTGTGTGTGTGTGTGTGTGTGTGTGTGTGTGTGGTCCAAAGGACAGGAGAAGGTGCAGCTAATTAATTAAATAATTTGGTTCTGTACCTTTCTCTTCAGCACAGCCAACAAAGGTTTAAGATGGGTCAGTCCTCCTGCATGCTCAGATCATTCCCTTCCCTTGCTTGAAAAATTGTTCCAAAATGAAAGTTGAACCTACATCTTTTTTATCTGTGAATTCAATGCCGTTCGGCGAGTCTCAAATAAAAATATGAGCTTCTTACTGTAAAAAAATATACCATTAAAGATAGAGGTGTGAATCTTCACTTGTCTCCCAATTCGATTCGATTACGATTATTGGGTCAACGATTCAATTCGATTCGATATCCCGATGAATCACGATTATTTCATATTGATTTGTTTTCATCGATAAATAGAAGATGTCAGATAACTGCTTTTTATTTTTTTTATCAAAAACGTAATTGACACAACCTGCCATCCCTCAAAAGCTCTCCATTCACAACAGGTTAGGACAAAACATTTTAAACATTTAAGAAGATTTAACAAAATAAAACATCTGTTTCCTCGTTCAGCACCACGCCTCAGGCTGAGAAAAACACGCTTTGCAAAAACTCACAAAATCTAAAAAGTACTGAAAACTTACAGGACACATAACGTAATAATAAAATCCATAATGTGTTCATATATGAGTGTTTAATGTCTCTGAGCAGCTCTAGAGTCAAATATTTATGCCACAGTTCAAGGATGTCAGAAATAACACCAAATGAAATGTTTGACTTAGTTTATTTTATTTGAACCCAGTGGTTCGTTTCTGAAATGTTGGAGAATGAATCAAGTTCTGTTTGATGCAGAAAATAATAAAACATAAAAGAAATTCCACACTTCCAATAATATTTAAGATGTGTGTTTTATTCTTTCTGATAATAACACCAGCAGAAGGCTGTGGGCTGGATTAGGATTAAATTACCCAGCTGATGGATCTCCTTCACTAACCAGCTAACTACAAACCTTTCCACTAACCTGTCCTGTGTGACCCTCACCATGTAACCCTCGTGTCCATGCTGTCTCTGGAGGAGCAGATAGGAGACACAATCTCCTGTAACTTAAAATGAACCAAAGCTTCCTCCCAGTTTCTCTTTAAGATGAGTTTAACATCAGTTTATCTTCATGACACAAAAGAATAAAGTGGAACAAGAACTTCTATCTTCTATTTCTCTCTCCTTTTAACTTCTCCGTGTCCCTAAATAAAAGAGACAGACGATCACGCTGCAGCCGCTGTCACTGACCCCGCCCCCTCCCCAAGACCGGCTCTCCCTACTTTACAACAAGCAGTCTGACTGAGCGCTTCCAGGAGAAATAATACTTAAATTATGAAAATAATAACGCGTGTTTGGAGGAGCGTCCTCCGATCGTCTCTCTGAGCAGACAGTGTCTCTCTCTCTCTCTCTGTCGCTGATCGAGCGAGCGGAGCGCGCCGCACGACAACCGCTCAATTAACATAATTCACGGCCCAAATCCAACAGAACCGGTCGGGCTGATTCGGTTCCGGTTTGGTCTCGGGTGACAACTCTAGCGCTCAGCCCTGCAGTACCACATTAAGGCGGAGGTAAATGTGGAGGACGCTCACTCTGACAGACTTGGATCTGCGCTGGTGCCGCCATTAAAAAAACAAAACTACATTCCACTATAATCGATTATGGCGTACTCTTCTACGATGCAGAATCGTTTATGTCCGCATCCCGATGCATCGATTATTTGATTATTTTCCTCAGCTCTAATTAAAGAGCAAGTCAACCCCTACCAGAGTCTAACTCCACTCCCACTTCATGTTTGAAAAATGCAACAAATGCCGTTGCCTGGCAGACCGAGAAGGCGGCGCTGCTGACAAATACACACACACACACACAGGCTCACGACAGCATTGTGACATCATAATGTACCAGTTTACATCATAGCTTACCTCTTAACCAATAGCGGTGGCAGATTTAAATTAAAATACAGTGCAGAGTTTTTACCTGACAACGGCACAACACTGCCAGTTTTAGGCAGAATATTTAAATTTCAACTAAGATGCACTGAAGTGCCAAATTATTGAAGACACGTGTCTGCAGCACGATTAGACACTCGTTTATTTAGTTTATCAGCAAAAAAAAAAAAAAACATTTGGGGGTGACTTGCTCTTTAAAGAGCAAGTCACCCCAAATAACCTTTTTTTTGCTGATAAACTAAAGAAACGAGTGTCTAATCGTGCTGCAGACACGTGCCGTCAATAATTTGGCACTTCAGTGCATCTTAGTTGAAATTTAAATATTCTGCCTAAAACTGGCGGTGTTGTGCCGTTGTCAGGTAAAAACTGCTCTGTATTCTAATTTAAATCTGCCACCGCTATTGGCTAAGAGGTATGCTATGATGTAAACTGGTAGATTATGATGTCACAATGCCTGTGTGTGTGTGTATTTGTTAGCAGCTCCGCCCCCTCGGTCTGCCAGGCAACAGCATTTGTTGCATTTTTCAAACATGAAGTGGGAGTGGAGTTAGAATCTGGTAGGGGTTGACTTGCTCTTTAATGTAAAAAATAAACTCTAAATAAACTATGTTCACATCCAGAGTCAAACCCAGGTCTTCTGCACGGAAGTCCAACATCTTCCTAGGTGAGTTAAAGAGCAAGTCACCCCCAAATAAACTTTTTTTTGCTGATAAACTAAATAAAGGAGTGTCTAATCGTGCTGCAGACACGTGTCGTCAATAATTTGGCACTTCAGTGCATCTTAGTTAAAATTTAAATATTCTGCCTGAAACTGGCAGTGTTGTGCCGTTGTCAGGTAAAAACTCTGCACTGTATTTTAATTTAAATCTGCCACCGCTATTGGCTAAGAAGTATGCTATGATGTAAACTGGTACATTATGATGTCACAATGCTGTCGTGAGCCTGAATGTGTGTGTATTTGTTAGTGGCTCCGCCCTCTCGGTCTGCCAGGCAACAGCATGTGTTGCATTTTTCAAACATGAAGTGGGAGTGGAGTTAGACTCTGGTAGGGGTTGACTTGCTCTTTAAAGCGCCAGTGATGTGCTTTGTATCTGTAACGTTTATATCCTTGATGACAGCTGAAACAACGTTCAAAGAATGGTTCGGAGCGAAAATGGCTATTTTGTTGCTAATTAGCAGGAAATATCTAGAAGAAAGTTCTACAGAAAGTAGCTAAGGGTCCTCAGAAATGTAGCTAGCTTTGTCACTAGGCGTTAGGAACAGCGACAAAGTGGCACTGCCTCTCTCTCTGCTGCTAAAGCTACGGATAGCAAATGCTACGGGCGATGCCTGAGCGTGAACGCGCATGAAGCAGCCTGCTCGACCCGAGCATCTCTCTTTTTCTGTGATTTTACAGAAAAACAGGCAATCACAGTAAAAATGCCAGGGCTCATTCTACAGGACCAGGGCATTGCAGGAGAATGTATGAAGAAGACATTTATTATTTATACATGTTTTGGCTGTCAAACTTCCATAATGCCCCTTTAAGCTGCGTCAGTTTTTTAGCGCTAATTTTAGCGGATTTTATACAGCATGTCTTAAGCTGTGTTTTGCTTATAAAAGCTTTGTTTTTAAATGCCAATATTTTGCACTAAGAGTTGGAGAGAAATTGCTATTTCGATTCTCTGCATGTAGGTGCTGTACGTGTGGTAGAATTGACAGTAAAAGCAGACTGATTGATCGATGTGTGAAATATTTACCTCTGTAGACTGTAGCTCGGAGTCTGAGGCATGCTCTGTGTGTTTTCTTGATGTGCAGGTGGCACAGCTGCTGCTTCCTACTGAGTGTTTCAGAGGATGGAGGATGTTGATGAGGTGGCTGAGGGGTAGAGTCACCTGCAGTAACACGTTTTCAAGAAAGGATCAGACCAACTGAGCAAAGCCAACTTTCACAAAACAAATCTGAACAAAAAGGAGAATCTGAATTGAAAATATGTTGCATTTAAGATACCATATCATGTTCATAAAGACGTGTGTCCTGTGTAAACCAAACTATGGACACGCTGTGTAGGGATTGTTTTTAACCTTGTATGTCTTAGATGCTGAACATTAATTTCTATTTCATGTAAATTAAAAGGACGATTAAGATATTGTTTTGAATTTAAGCCAATGGTCGTTTCTATTCCCCTAAAGCAGATGAATGACATGAGCTTATGTTGGTGGGACTGTAAGGACAATGGTGTAAATGAAACTATGGCGCGTCTAGTTAGAATGAAAAGCATGCACGCACGCGCAGGCAGGTGAAAACAACAATAGATTGATCACCTGTCGATATTTGAGGAAGTTTCATAAATCAACATTGAACAGATTATCTCTACAAGCCGCAAATATAGTTAAAATTATTACGGATAACTACTTTTATTAGTTAAGTTACGAGTTAATAAAGACTAGCCTATTTGTATCATGGCGTGTTAAAATTGTTGCTTTTGAGAATACATTGATGCTAGCTACCTGACGGATAACTACTTTTATTGGTTAAGATACGAGTTAATAAAGACTAGCCTATTTGATTAATGGCGTGTTAAAATTGTTGCTTTAGAGAATAAACTGATGCTAGCTACCAGAACCCAGCGAGGACGAAACCAAAACAACAACAATGCTAATGCTAGCTCTGCTTAATCTTACTTACCTGTGGCTGGACCGTCATCGACAAAGAAAACATTATTAACTGATGGTTGGTATGAAGCCACCTGTTAACCTTTACAAACTCTATTTCGTTCCACCGCGATTTAAAGCTCTGTGTTTGTTTCCTTTTTAGCCGCAGGCATAGCAACTTCTAACGTGAACGCAGCGGTCTCACAGCTGACAAGAAACCGGATGTGGAGGGCCGGGCAAGACGGCGGACCGGATTCAGAATGTACTTTGAACAACACAGACGTAATATTAATCGTTTGTGTGTTAAACACTACACTACTTTTTCCCAAATGTACTCTAATCTAGCATCATAACCGACACACGTGTCGTAACGTGAATTTAAGGTTATACGGTTGTTTGTCCACCAGAGGGCGCTATCGCTGCACTGACATGCTAGACCTGAACGACCAGTGGATGAGGAGTTCCGTTCGGCCGCTGAGTGCAGATGGTGGGTTCTGTTGAACCTTGTCTGGTCATTAGAGTTACTATAATTGAGTTTCTTTAACAAATGTAACATTATGTGCCAAGAAAAAGAAAATAAATATCAGACAATTAAACGGATATGACTTCAGCAATGTTTCACACTACCTGTCCCTGTCGAAATTTGCTCTAAAGCCAGCTTTGTTCCGCTAAATATGAAAAATCGTTGCAAAAATGCAAATATCGTGGATGACTTGATGTTTCATTTCGCTATTCTTTCTAGTTAAGCTTTGATCATAAGGAATTATATGTATATTATATATATATTATATATATATATATATATATATATATATATATATATATATATATATATTATTATATGAGGTGTGCGCGCGCACACACACACACACACACACACACACACATATATATATATATATATATATATATATATATATATATATATATATATATATCACAAATGTCCATAGAGACAAATTTACACCTGAAATAAATCAATACAGAATAGAGATTGTGAACTCTCGTCACCCCCCAAATTACCTACAAGTTACCATTGAGTAGCATGAAACAGTAACTTGAACAAAGCTACAAGTTTATTTGATTTGTTAATTGCTTTTGTAATTAAAATAATTAAATTAAAAGTTTATTTAGACAACAAACAAACAGCAAATAATAGCTGCATTTCTATTGTGTTATCAGTTACTTTTGCTGTATTTGGCTTTTAAATTTTTTTTTTAAGTTTTAGGACAGGTTATACATTCGTTGTCAAATCCAAATAAATGAAACAGAGTTGGGTTCAAATCCTGGCCTAGGGTCTCTCTGCAAAGATTTGCATGCATGCGTGGGTTCTCTCCGGGTACTCGGGCTTGGTTCCTGGGTTACTCTAAATTGTCCTTAGGTGCGAGTGTGTGCGTTCATGGTTGTTTGTTCTGTGTGTCTCTGTGTTGCCCTGCGATGGATCTGTCCAGGGTGTATCCCGCCTGTTTGCCAAAGACTGCTGGAGATAGGCACCAGCCTTCCACGACCCTGCGTGGATAAGCGGGTATAGAAGATGGATGGATGAATTTGAGTTTAGTTCTAGTTTTTCACCACTGGAGGTTGTTAAATCCCCCTTCTTGTTCATGACAGCTATTGTAATTAGGCTATACTATATTGCAGTGATTCCCAAACAGGGGTACGTGTATACCCCTAGTAGTCCATAAGCGTATTACAGGGGATATGCAGAAAATCAGGAATAAATGGTATTGCTGTTTCTACATTTTTCACTTCAGTTCTGAATTCTGTGTTTTCATTACATTTAGCTTGTATTTTATTTAAAATATCTTCATCTTTATTCATTTTATGAGAATTTTTGTGTTACATTGTTTAGAAAAACAATCATAACAAAAATGATTTGAAAGGTTTTGTATGTTTTTATTAGATTTGCACATGAAATGTTCTTCAAATTAAATCATGTACTTTTTAGAAGTATTTGTTCAGCTGCAAATCATGTGACAACGCTCAGAAACATTTTGACATGCATAAATAATATATTTGGATACAGATTTGAGGTCATATTAGTCCAAATAAATAACAAACCCAGCTATCAAAAGAGCATCAAATGCATATAGACTGAAGGGAAACCAGAGCAGGCCTGTGCAGCTGCACTGAGGGAGGGCGTTCACATCAGAAACCATCAAGTCTAATCAGAGCATTCACACTGGCTGCAGTGTTGATCCGGGTGCGGAGCTCTGGAAAGTTTCCACATGGAATTTATTTTTTCTGGACGCAACATGAGGATTGTCATAGGCCCTGTCCACACGTAGCCGGGGATCTGCCAAAACGTAGATATTTTTCTACGTTTTGGCCTGTCATCCACACGAAAACGGAGTTTTTTCACACGAAAACGGATCTTTTTAAAAACTCCGGCCAAAGTGAAGATCTGCGTTTTCTCCGTTTTGGGTGTCTGCGTGTGGACAGACAAAACCGGAGTTTTAAGGTTTGCAACGTCACTTTCCGCGACAAAAAAAATGCTGACATCACGTGTGCGACCTGTGTTTACACTAGCCGACAGCATGGATGCCCTCAGAGCTGCGCTCGCTTTATCAATTGTCCAAGCGCTTTTTGCTTGGTTTTTTTCTGCAAGTGGAATTACTGCTCCTAGAGGAAGACCACAGACGAAGGACGAGGTTTAGAACGGGGGAAGTACTGCCGCCTACAGGTCTGGCATGTCCTTAACAACGTATTTATCCGGGTACGTGTGGACAGAGTTTATTTTTTAAACGAGGTGGTGTGGATGCAAGTTTTTGGAGGGGCGGATATTCGTTTAAAAAAACCCGGCTACGTGTGGACTAGGCCATAAAGTAAAAAAAAAAATCACATGAGCCAGACCGGAAGTGAGACGTGGTTCAGCGTTAGGCAGTTTTGCTGAAAGGGTTCTCATTTACGTTCTGCTTTTGGGGAATCATCAACACTTTTGACTAAAGAGCTATGTGTAAATGGCTTAGGCAAGTCAGAAAAGGTTGGGAAACACTGATCGAGTAGAGCAAGGCCCGCAGCTTTTACCACTCCCACAACCAGCGGATTACATCGAGAATATAAATAAAGAGCTTATTCCATTAATGCATTTTATTGCACTTTTAGGTTTGTTTCCCATTATGACATTTTACTGCTACAGAGTACATTTTTCTCTGTTTTCACTTAATATTCAGTCATTTTAAGCAGCTTAATTCCCCCTAAGTAGGACACACACACACATCCTTTATTTCTGAAATAAAACTGGTGCTTCCCCGACTTCCCACGCCTCCAGTCATGGCAGTCAACAATTAGCCACTGAACTAAACAAACTTACACACAGATATTTTGTTAAATATTTGAAACCTCCTACTGTGTTGATAGAAATGACCCTGTATTATTTACATTTGTAAAATAAAGCCTAGTCTAAAAGGTGGATGTGATAAATGAAACCCACCCAAAGAACACCTTCTTTAGTTTACTCTAGGATCTACGTCTACAGTGTGATTGTTTCATTTATTCTAGTTGCTGTGGTTAATCAGCTCTTCCTAATCTACGTTTTAAACTACTAACTCATGCTGATCTCACTGCAGCTGTGAGGCAGCATCCTTTTTTTGTTGTAAAAACACCCCTTTCATTGCCAGAAGTCTCATTCCCTACTCATATCTGACCCTTTTTAACTCATCCGTGACTGCAGCTGGAGAAAGCCCCAAAGGAACGAAAGAGCATCTCTGATCCTCGTTGATTGTCAGACAGGTCATGGGATTTTCCTATGAGAAGGAGAGCAGAAGCAGGTCTGTGGCTACAGAACGCAGAGAGGAAATGTCGCCAGGGTTGCCGTTCGCCGTCTGCTCACCTTCGCCTACGCTGTAAATAAAGCTGGACGAGCCAGTGGGTGACAAGAGGCCAGAGTGTGGTCAAAAGCACAGTCAGCGGGGAGAAGTCAAACGGCCACCAGGATGGCCTCCGGAACTAAAGTACAAAGACAAAAACAAGAGTTAAAGCGGCTAATAATGAATTAAGTTTATATTAATGATGCAACGAAGATGTTTTCTTTTCCACGACCTTTAGTGAAACTGATGAAGAGTCTTCCTGCCTTGGCGAAGACGACCTCGACTAAAATATTTAGATTTTTTTAGTGGATGCAGAAATATCACACCGGCTCACAAAGCAATAACTGAAATAACGACCCTGAAGTTCCACCTGTGACCTCGTCCGCTCCTCCAGAGCATGCAGCCTGTGCAGCACGTCGGCCACGTCACACTGCAGCCCCAGTAGAGCCGTGGCTATTTGCTCTTTCACGTTTCCTCTTGTAACACCGACAGGACGCCTGCTCGTCGACAAACAGCTACAGGAAGCACCGACGCTGACGCACCGCAGAGGGTTGCTGGTGATTTTTGGTGATTGAGAACCTGGAAATTCAGACAGATCGTCCTAATCCAAACCAAGTGGAAAACAGGGGCTATTGTTGGGGAGTAAAATGATTATGGATCAATAAAACCTTTTGCAGAATCACCTCTTCCCCTTCTGGATAAGCTGCTGTTGTGTTTTCCTAGATCTCCTAAGAAGATATTCTCAGGTTCTTTCAAAGTGGTGTAGCTCTCAAACCATAGACTGTTTGGGCTCGTCGAGGCGACGCCTGATGCTGATAGCAGGCCTTTTGATGCAGACTGTTAATTTAAAAGAAACAGAGACACAGTTAGTAAGCTGAAGTAGTAAACTGACCAAAAAACTGATCTTGGAATCAAACTGAAAGTAGGCGATTGGTATGCATTCATTTAAAGAGACAATGTGTAATTTTTACCATTAATTTCTGGAAGTATCCATCAAAATGTTGTTGAAAATGAATTGAATGATGCCTAGTTGTTGAAAAATATTGGTGGCTATGTAACATATAATCATAAAAATCTGGTCAAAAATATATGGGAGTGGGTCTAAGGGTGTTTCTTAATGCCAAGGAACCTTGCCTTGATGCCTTGGCCCCGCCCCGGTTGCCTAGGAGATACGTCATCGAGAGCCGCCAAGGCGTGTACCAATGTTCATGTTCTACCAAGGCGTGTGTTCTCCGTTTGTTAGCCGTTTAGCTAGCTGAGCGAGGATACATTGGAGGGCTGTGTCTCAATTCAGGGTCTGCATCCTACGTCGACCGGATTCGTCGGCCGGTTACGTCACAGCGCCGCGACTAGGCATGTCCCAATTCGAAGACTCCTTCAAATGCGGTCGACGAATCCGGCCTTTTCGCCTGAATGAAGGATGGGTCCGGTGTATCCTTCAATAAGTAGCATTTCCCAAGATGCCTTGCGGGCCGGCCGGCAGAAAAACTTAAAAACAATGGCGGACAGTGAAGCGGGAGCTGTTGGAGAGGATTGCGCATATAAATGTCAGTATAAACTTAAATTGTTAGGTTAAGGGCTTTTTGTGATACATGAACGTTATTTTAGTTAGAAATATTACAGTAAAAGTGCTTGTATTGCGGTCTCGGCTCGTATGTTCGGCCGCTCGGTGTCGTACTTCTCCCGCTACGTTTTCCCCCTGATTTTAATAGGAGTTTGTATTTTAGGGACAAAAGAGAAAACCAGGAAATTTATTAAGCTTAGGGCGGAGATGGACCACATGATCACCGGAGCAAAGTATTCGGCGGCTGTGGCATGGAGGTACAATAACATCTCATATTTTAAATAACTCGTTTGAGTTTATTTTTTTCTGCGAAACCATGAAAGGAATAACCCGTTGTCCTCTTTTCTCTTCCTGTTGTTTTTCTTACATGTTTGTTAAGACTATTCTGGAGAAAATGGGCATCCAGGGGAAGGTGACAGCGATGACCAGCTTCTGGAGCTGATCAGAGAGGACTTGAGGTTGCAGAGGGAGGCAGAGCAGCAGAGGGCACAGGAGAGAAGGGAGAACTTTGACAGCTTTTTACTTTGCTAGAAAAAAATGGTTAATAAAGATTAAACATTTACATATAAAAGAAATATCTAAATAAAATCAGTTCTGCATTTAACTCTTGAATCTTATTTTGGTTTACAAATGAGAATTGTTTACTAGAGGGTATCCGCTGGGTCTTGAAAAGTCTTAAAAGGTGATAAATCGGTTTTGGTCAAATGAAGACCCTTAGAAAGTATTAAAAACTATTATCACATCTTTGCTCAGGCTCAGCTTGTCGAAAGTATTTTCTCCGAATTAGCTCTCCAACAGTCAAGGAAATGATTAAGAAGCTAAATAAAACGTCGAGCTCCATCGATTAAAGTTCCTTCTCCCTTCTGCTCAGCAGTTCCACGGTTGCTAGGCGACGGAACGTTCGCCGAGGGAGAGGCGGGAATTCATGAAGGCTAGGCCTGTCCAAATTCACAGCCGTTAACATCCGGTCTACCCGGCCGACGGAGGACCCAGCCCACGTCGGCGGGGTGGGCTGGGTCCTTCGAAGGATGCAGACCCTGAATTGAGACACAGCCGAGGTGTCTTGTAGCCCAGCCTTGGTCAAAAATTACCCACAATACACTGCGGTATTTTCAAAAGGATGGCGGATCAGAAGCAGGCAGCCACTTCGGGGACAATTTTCAAGTTTACAAGTAAGTCAACTAATTTAAAATGTGTTTTTTAGATCCAAAGAAGTTATTTATGGTTGGTTAGTTGCTTAGTAGCTGCAGCTTCGGTGGCTAGCGGGTCGTAACTCACTTATATATTTAATTTAATAAACATTTACACACTGAAAAAAGTTAAAGGCTCGTTAAATATTTCTATTGAAACTAATACGTATAAAATATAATGTGTCCCGTGTCACAAGACGTTACGTAACCGCCGTGGAAGCCGCGGTCACGTGATGTTCGTCTGTTCCATTCAACTGCTTTCTCTGAACGTGGAAGGACAGTGTCCTTGTAAGCAAGGCGCCTGGCCTCGCGAGACATCGCCTCGCAAGCCCAGGCGCCTTGACATTGAGAAACACCCCAAGTCTCTGGGTGATGCCATGTTTCCTTCTACGGGAGCCCATGAGGACAAAATGCATTTACTGATTTGTAACAAATGGTTACAAAACATTCACCATTCTTAAATGTTGTTATTTTACACATTTACCTCTTCACTTGTTGCCAGTAATGAAAGGGTGTCTGATGTGCTCGTTATTTTGCTAAAGTTTGCACTCCCCGGGGCTTTTTGACCCTAATGGGCATCCGTTGGTAAGGTCTTACTCCAACACAAAAATAATGCTTGCTTGCAATAATGTAGGCATCTACTGCCACCTATCGCCAGGAAAAATACACACTGTCACTTTAAGGAATGGCAGGCCTTTCATTTCATTCATGTAGACACGTTTAACACTTCAGGAGAGAGACGTTAAACCTCTTCCACTGCCAGATGCTCCATTGAGTCGCAGAATTCCTCATTATCAGAGTCTGCAGGTCGATGGGTCTTCCCGGGAGCAGCATAGCTCGGATCTGAAAAGAAACCAAAATTCATGTTGATCTTTGGTTTTTGTCAAAATCATGAAGCCAAGAAAAAAGTCACGCTATATTACCTTGCAAAGTATTTTCGAATTATGGCAAAAGGTCTCCAATAGAAATCTAAAGAAAATGTTGATTTATTTATTTTTTTAATGTATCCAGTGTCAAGTCCAACTTTATTTTAAAAACACATTTTAACTACAACCTCCATTGGCCCGAAGAGCTGCACACAATCAAAACAAGAAACATGTCTGGTGTTATACCATTTTCTGTGACCATCAGATTCTGTGGCTCTAGAGGGGGAACTGAATAAAGGGAATTGGACCTTTGAATTGTTATTTTTCAAACTGTAGCCTGCTTGAACTGCTTTCTCCATGAACATCTACTTCACCTTCGATGATGAAAAAAAAAATGCTGTGAAGAAGACTTAAAGGCGTCCAAGACAGCACCAGCATTGGGTTAGAGCTGATACTTGGTACGTAAGGGATTCTGGAGGATGGCCTGGTGTCACGATGGGCATTAAAGAAACCACTTTTCTACAAGAAAAATAAAAACAAACTGATATTAAAGTTCTAGGGATTGGATTGCTGAGGATGGGATAAAATTATTTTTCTCTGATTGTTGGTAATACTATACAGCCTTGCAGCAAGAAGGTGGCATTTCTGCACAGAGTTAGCTGTGCTCCCCACACATGCGTGGGTTTTCTCAGAGTACTCTGGTTTCCTCCATGCACGTCAGGTTAACTGGCAACCCTGAATTGTACTTGGTGTGCGTGAGTGTGTAAATGGTTGTTTATCTTTGTGTGGACCTGCGATGACCTGCAGAGATGTCCAGGGGCGTCCCCCACCTCTTGCCTGTTGCTAGAGAAAGGCACTAGTTTTTCCCGCAATAGCGGTTCAGGAAATAAGAGGAAGATGCTTGAAACATCGTCATCATCGTGAATGAAGAAGCATTGTCTGAAGAAGAAATGATGATGTGGCCTTGAAGCACATGCAGTAATGATATTTATCGCAATATGTATTTGTTTCATTTAGCTGTTTCTGAACATTCTCACACACCAGAGGAACTGCAGCAGAACAACTAAACAAGGGCAGCGGGAGCTCAAGAGGTTGAGCGGGTTGTCCGGTAATAGGAAGGTTGCGAGTTCGATCCCAGCTCTGGACAGAGAATTCTGCTGGAAAGACACAACCCTGGGGGCGGTCGGAGGGACCGGTGGCGCCAGTGCTCGGCAGCCTCACCTCTGTCAGTGCGCCCCAGGGCAGCTGTGGCTACAATGTAGCTCATCACCATCAGTGTGAAAATGTGTGTATGAATGGATGAATGATACACTGTAGCGTAAAGTGCTTTGGAGTCCTCTGACTCTGAAAGGCACTATACAAGTGCAGGTCGTTTATCGTTTAAATAATTATTAAAGGTATAGAATACTATTTACATAACATTTAATGTGTAAAACACATTAAAATATACAAAATCTTCCAAAGCTCAAAACAGCTGATAAGAGGGTTTGACCGCTCTGCTTACAGGCAGCAAGCGAGAGAGAGAGGAGTTGTTTTAAAGTGACAGTGTGTATTTTTCCTGGAGATAGCTGGGCAGTGGATACCTAAATTGTTGCAAGCAAGCTGTATTGTTGTGTTGGAGTGAGACCTTACCAACAGATGCCCATCAGGGACAAAAAGTCCTGAAGAGTGCAAACTTCATCAAAATGACGAGCACATCAGTGGCAATGAGCAAAGAGGTAAATGTGTAAAGCAACAGCGTTCATGAATGGTGAACATTTTGTAACAGCTTGGTACAAATCAGTAAATGTGTTTTGTTCTCAAGGGCTCCCGTAGAAGGAAACATGGCATCTAATATGGCATCGCCTGTCGACTTGGACCCACTCCCATGTATGTTCGACCTGATTTCTTTGGTTATATGTTAAGAAGCCGCCAATATTTTTCAACAACTGGGCATCATTTAATTCATTTTCAACACCCTTTTGATGGATGTTTCCAGAGATTAACATTTAAAAACTACACGTTGTCCCTTTAAGACGTGATCAATCGGAGAAGTAGCTGAAAACGTGGAGGAAAATTGTTCAAACTGCATCACAGATGTTCAGAATGTTTGGAAGCCTGGAAAAAACGAACGGCGTGTCAGGGAATGACTGTTAACGAGCTAATAACACGAAGATCTACGAACACTCAAGCATCTGAATGTGGAGACAGTTTGAAAGACTCTGCCCCACGACTGAGCTTCCTCTTTGGGCCGTGGCCAGGATGGCTTGCCAGCGTCAGCAAACAATCACTTTTATATTTTGAATTAATTTTAATTTTCTATAAGTTTAAATTTGTAGTTTTAACATTTTTGTGGAAAATTGATGTTTATATCGATCTGCTTTTGCCGTTACTTGTGATGATCAAACATCATGCTAACATTAGATTATTTACTGTTAAGCTTAATCCTGAGATCTACTAAGATTGTTTTGCACCGATCTTACCACTGACGGGTCCATTAATGTGCATATATGTGTTAAAGGCCAGTTCCTCCTCCTCCAGCTCACTGTTGAGGGAGCTGTGAGTGCCGTTGGTGAGGGAGGACATGCTGGGCTCCATGCTGCTGCTGGATCCTTTGGGGTCAGATCTCCATCTTTTATCATCCACCATTAAAAACCTCCGGTCTGGGCTCCAGTCTAGGATGACAGAAAATACATTTTCTTTTGATGTGGCTTTATAGTTCTCAAATGAGAGGAGCTGCTTCCTGACGTAATTGTGGAAACGGGGGAGGGGCTTAAGGTGCAATACTTTTTTCAGCCTTTTAGCTCTGGAGAAAACAGGACATCTGCTTTAAAGGTTGAATATGGAACGCAAACACCACAGCGACATCTAGTGTTTTGAAGGTTGCAGCTGCAACAACAGCACAATGTTTCTAGTCGTCGGGATGTCAGGTTCGCTGTGAAGTGACCAGCCATCACCATGTCCAGTGACTAATCATACTGGGTAAGGACTCATTTCTACTAATACATTTATTTTACAACACTATTTAACATTAGAATGCCTTGTGGGCTCAAAAGCAGCTGATTGACTTGCAGAGTCTGCCATTTTCTACAGTACAATGTCTGGAACACACCAGCTGCGAAGTGCCGCGAAGTGGATCGCTCACGAAATCCATGCACTGTCCGCACCTCCTCTGCTCACATCAGAGGAGAATTTTCAACGAGCACTTCTCCTCACGCCTACTGTTATCCAACCCCCTACACCCCACCCTCGTAACCCTTACTGTGTGTGTGTGTGTGTGTGTGTCACTTCCTTCCTGGGACAGCACACGGATCATAACCACCGAACAACAAAAATACAAAAGATGGATCAAGGAAGCAATCGAGATAAGGAGACGTGGATGTGGGACCATGAACAGGGACGACGGAGTTTACACGCTGGACCACGCATGGGACTGCATCGTCGGAGAGGGGAGAGCGGGCAGTAGAGGGCGACAACGTCCTCTGCTGCCCGCAGATAAACGGAGAAGGAAGTGACGCGCCACCATCAGCGTCAGCCTGAAGAAGCCGGCAGCCGTCGGCGAAACTGTAGCTACAAACAGGTAAACAGAACTGTTTCTGTGTTTAAAAAAAAACGAAAGCATGGAGCTTTTGAATATATTATTCCCTTTAACCTTCAGATGGGGCTGGAAGATTCACCAAGCACAAAAAAACCCAAAACAAGTGGAACGTGGAGTAATAAAAAGACTAATAATATTGTGTTGATTACTTTACTTTGTTTTGATTAAGAGCACAAACCCCGCTGCTCCCTCAAACTAATAAACATTATTATATTTAATATTATCAAAAGCTTTCTTTAAATCTAAACATGAATGAGGTTTGAATGTTTCATTTCTAAACAATCCCAGTCATCACCACACAAAACACTAGATCCACATTGTACCTCCTTCCCTTTCTTTGTCTCCATCCATTGTATTTATGTTGTCATCCCAAAACTCCTCCTCCTCCTCCTCGTTTTCCTCACTTCTTCTCCACACACTACTTTCCTCATTTCTCTGGACTTCACTTCTGTTGACGCTGCCCTCTTCCTGCTCACCGGGTCTCCCACCGGGTCCATGCACACTGCTGTCCGTCTGCTGCAGGTTCTGTATATCCTCCCACAGATCCCCGTAGCCTGAGCAGGAAGTGAAATACTGTCCATTAGCTACGAATAGATGCTACACCTTAAACGACACCGCACTACATTACAATGTATGCTGACCTTTTTCTGCTAACCCAGGGGTGTCAAACTCATTTTAGCTCAGGGGCCACATTGAGGGAAATCTAGTCCCAAGTGGGCCGGACCGGTAAATAAAAAAAAAACAACTTCAGATTGTTTTCTTTGTTTTAATACAATAAATATAAAACAAGGCTGGAGCCTGAGGACAGTTTAGTACAAGTACAACACCTGAAGTGTACTTGAAAATTTGAAAAAAAAAAAAATAATAATAATAATAACAAATTAAAAAAAACATTCCTTAGTGATTCAAAGAGCTTACAGATCACATGGCAAGATCAGTTTCATGCAGCACTTAAAGTATATTTGACTCATTTTACTTTACATCTTTTCGCTTTCACCGGAGCATCAACATCAGAAGTCACATCCTGAGTGGTGGCCAACTTCAGGATGCGATTCAAGTTCTTGTGTGAGCCTTGAGCGCAGCTTTGTGTTATTTATACTCATTACAGAGGAAACTTGCTCACATTGATAAGTTTATTTTCACTCTACATTGTAAAGTATGAAAATAAAGTTTACACAACCATCTCGCGGGCCGGATTTAGCCCGCGGGCCGCATGTTTGACACCCCTGTGCTAACCCAAACACAATGTTGAAAGAAGCCAGACACCAACATCAGCTCTAAACAAACGGCAACGACTTGCCTTCCATCTTTGGCTTCTTAATTGATTGAAGCAGCTCCTCTAGAAGAAAACAGTCAGAGTATCGCTAGGTGATAAAAATCTGTGTGGATGTGTCTCATTCCTCAAGTCACCTTTGTGTTCTGCAAAGGGCCTGGTGAAGGGTCTCTTGTCTGTTTCCCAACCCACTTCTTCTCCCTCTGTGTAGAAGTCACCAAGTTTCTCCACCAGCTCAGAAACATCTTCTGAGACTGGGATTGTCTCCAAAATCTTACAATGCACATACATACAGATTATAATCCAACAGCATAACAAGGTGGACAAAGAGACCGCAACCAATGAAAATGAAACATTCCAACCGTGTTTGGTTTGCTATTCTCCAGTCTTCCGTGAAAATGGACTCACCAGCTGGATATGGTCTACATAATTCTTCATGGCTTCCTCCTTTGTCATGTTTCCCAGAGAGCTCCATGCATCCCTGGCAACAGAGTCAAAGTTCAGCTCTGAGGAAAGCAGCGAATGGTAAAAAAAAAAAAAAAAAACTCAAGCAGTGCAGTTTAAAAAAAGGATCGAACCACAGACGGTTTAGTGTATGAATTAAACAGAGCAGTGGAGTTTGGTTGTAACAAAAATCAGATGAAAATGTGGCATTACGACCCAGAAGTAGGAGTTCTGTCACCATTCAGCTTTGCCTCGAGTGTCCCAGAAGCCGAGTGGCCTGGGGCTGTTACATGGGCCCATCGTGGCCTGCCTGTAGTATTTATAGAACATCAGCATCATGTCATCAGAAAGTTGGAAAAGACCTGAGATTAAAGGAAACATGATAAAAAAAAGAGTTATAAATGAGGCTGTTAAAGGGTGAAAATCTTACTTTTTGCAACTTTTCGTGCTGCCACGAGGATCTCTACGGCCTCTATAAATACCGTCCATCCATTTTCTTCCGTTTATTCATAGTCGGATCGCGGGGGCAGCAGCTTAAGTCGAGAGGCCCGGACTTCCCTCTCCCCAGCCACATGGACCAGCTTTTCCAGGGGAATCCCAAGACGTTCCCTGTCCAGCTGAGAGACATAGTCCCTCCAGCATGTCCTGGGTCTACCTTTAGGCCTCCTCCCGGTTGGACGTGCCCGGAAAACCTCATCAGGGAGGCATCTAGGAGGCATCCTAAATAGATGCCCAAGCCACCTCAACCGGCTCCTCTTGATGTGGGAGGAGCTTCTCCTCCATCTCTAACAGAGCCCAGCCGTCCTGCAGAGAAAACTCATTTTGGCTGCTTGTATCCGTGATCTCATTCTTTCAGGAACTACCCAAAGTTCATGACCATAGGCGAAGGTAGGAACGTAGATCGACCAGTAAATCGAGAGCTTTGCCTTCTGACTCAGCTCTCTTTTCACCACGACAGACCGGTACATCGCCCACATCACTGCAGAAGCAGCACCAATCCGCTTATCGATCTCGTGCTCCGGCTTCCTCTCAAGAACCTGAGATACACTCCTCCATTTGGAGCAGGACCTCATCCCTGACCCGGAGAAGGCCTTCTACCCTTTTACAACTCAAAACCATGATCTTGGATTTAGAGGAGTTGATTCTTGTATAGGGCTGCGCAGTGGCGCAGTGGTTAGAGCTGTTGCCTTGCAGCAAGGAGGTCCTGGGTTCGCTTCCCAGCCTGAGATCTCTCTGCATGTAGTTTGCATGTTCTCCCTGTGCATGCGTGGGTTATCTCCGGGTACTCTGGCTTCCTCCCACAGTCCAAAAACATGACTGTTAGGTTGATTGGTCTGTCTAAATTGTCCTTAGGTGTGAGTGTGTGTGCATGATTGATTGTCCTGTGTGTCTCTGTGTTGCCCTGCGATGGACTGGCTCTCTGTCCAGGGTGTACCCGCCTAATTGCCCGTTGACCGCTGGAGATAAGCACCAGCCCCCCCGCGACCCTACATGGACAAAGCGGCTTCAGAAGCTGGATGGATGGATTCTTGTATAAATACTCCAAATATATATATATATATATATATATATATATATATATATATAAACCTGACTATCCATTTTCTGATGCTAGGAATTACAGGTGAAACAAAAATTTAGAATATGGTGCAAAAGTCAATTTATTTCAGAACATCTAAAGCAGGGCTGTTCGAGTTTGGGCCCCGAGGGCCGGTAACCAGCACGTTTTAGTGGTTTCTCTGCTCCAACACACTAGATTCAGTGGTTGAGGCCCTGTCCACACGTAGCCGGGGATCTGCCAAAACGTAGATATTTTTCTACGTTTTGGCCTGTCATCCACATGAAAACGGAGTTTTTTCACACGAAAACGGATCTTTTTAAAAACTCCGGCCAAAGTGAAGATCTGCGTTTTCTCCGTTTTGGGTGTCTGCGTGTGGACAGACAAAACCGGAGTTTTCAGGTCCGCAACGTCACTTTCCGCGACAAAAAAAATGCTGACATCACGTGTGCGACCTGTGTCTACACTAGCCGACTGCATGGATGCCCTCAGAGCCGCGCTCGCTTTATCAATCGTCCAAGCGCTTTTTGCTTGTTTGTTTTTGCAAGCAGAATTACTGCTCCTTGCGGAAGACCACAGACGAAGGACGAGGTTAAGAACGGGGAAGTACTGCCGCCTACAGGTCTGGCATGTCCTTAACAACGTATTTATCCGGGTACGTGTGGACAGAGTTTATTTTTAAAACGAGGTGGTGTGGATGCAAGTTTTTGGAGGGGCAAATATTCGTTTTTAAAAATACCCGGCTACGTGTGGACTAGGCCTCACATGTGCAGCAGCTCATCAGGATCTGCAGAACCCTGTTAATCACCTGCTGATTTAAGTCACGTGTGTTGAAGCAGAGTTAAAACTAAAACGTGTTGGATACCGGCCCTCGAGGCCTGGAGTTAAATAGCCCTGATCTAAAGGCTCGGGAACTCTCAGCTGTTCTGGATTCAGCTGATTAGCATGTGGCACTTTGAGTCTAGAATATTGAACCTTTTCACAATTTTCTGACTGTGAGAAATTGAATGTGGAGTTTTAATAAGCTGCAAGCCCCAATTATAACAAACAAAAGCTTGTAATATCCGGCTTTGCATGTAATGAGTCCGGCTCATATTTTAGTTTCACCCTTTAAAGTGAATTACTGGAATAAAGAAATGCTTGCACCACATTCTAATATTCGAGTTTCACCTGTTTCAAAGACTCCCCCGTTTGTATCGTCACAAACAGAAATTTCTATTGAATGTCATTTAACCTGTCGAGTCCCCACTCACCAAAACTTTGTAGGATCTGACATTTCTGTTTAACGAGACGGAGAGGATATGCTGGAGGGACGTTTGGCTTCTCTGCTTCTCTTCTTTGCTCAAGCTGTTACCCAACTCGCAAACGGAAGACTACGAGTGGATGAAGGAAGAGACACGACGAGAAGACGGAGTGGAGCTACACTTACTCGTGTCAGAGATTCTGAAGACACAAGCATGTGTCAAAACTTTAGTCTTTTGTGCTCGTACCTATTAAATGTAATTTTCACTTTGAGTGCTCCGGCCTGCTTTTCGCTTATTCTTACTTCATGAACGTGTTTAGTAAAGACCACAGAACTATTATAACCTGAGAAGAAATACGTCTCTGATGTCAATGATGTAAAAATGGATTCGAAAATTATTTTACACTTGTGCCACACACACTACTATGACTGTTGGTGCGGTTTACAATTCAGGATTACCACACCACATATTATTGTAATTAAAGAAGTACTTTAAGTATCCGCATTACATGGGAGTAAAGACTTGTTTACATAATCAGCTGCTATCCCTGCATTTAGGGCAGTCATATGTATTGTTTACTCTCCAAAGGCCACGGGTTTTACTGTTGCACCTAGACAGATGCTTGGGTCTCATCACTGAGCAGAACCGATTGCTACGGGTCATCACCTTCTTCAGGCAAACTCTGGATCACTTTAACTGCTGCTGCAAATTTGGCCTCCAGGCTGTGTTCATCCTCCTCCTGCGCCATGCTGAGTCCAGACAGGGAGAGCATGAGGAGTCCTCAGATCAGAAAAAATAATAAATAAATAACCAAGAAGGATCAGAGAGAGTTGCACATGTTCTGCATCTGTTTTAAGGCTACAGACGGCTATAATTAGGCTACTGGGTATTTTAAAATAAAATAGCATGTTTATTTTGTAAGAGTATTGGCAGTAAAAAATGTATTTTAATGTCTGAGATTAAAGAAACTCACCAGAGCCAGAGACTGTAAGGCCTAATCATTCCATAAATCTGATCGGTGTCTGTTTGCAATCTGCAGCAAACAGCCAAGCTCTTCGGTCAGGGATAATCAACGTTCTGATCGCTGAGCATTATGGGAAATGTAGTACTTATTGGGCCATGGCTACTATGAAAAGTGGTGCTTAAACTTCAAAACCCATAAACACTTCTAAGCAGGGATTTAAACAGCTCTCGCACATTCTTATGGGAAATGTAGTCCATCCAGGTGGAAAGAAGTTTGTGTTTGCAGAAAGAGCTCAAACACTTAGATTTATTATAAAACAAACTCTGTAGTCGTATAATATAATCATTGACAGTGTGAACATAGACAATGTTAATATCAGTGGTAGTTAATATTAGCATTTGTTATAATGTGAATTTTAAGTTTTGTTTTGAGATTTATTTTGAAGTCAAAATAAGAAAGTCCTTTAGTCATTGTCAAAATGACAGTCTCCTATAAAATAATTACGAGTAATGCAAACTGGTGGAAGTTTAAATAAATTTCTACAGGATGAATGACAATCGGGACAAGAATAGAATGAGCTATTTTGTACTGTATTTGTGTTAAATTATGTTTTCTTTCTTTTTGTGTGTTAGTCTTGAAAACACAAGTTAAAATGTGTGAAGAATTCAAATGAAGATTACTATTAAAATGTTACAACTTCCCTGCATTGGGTCGTTGTTCTTATATTTACAAAGCAAAAAGGAAAATGGATAATATATTTTTGAGGATATGCGTCAAGCTTCCTAACTCGATACCTTTCGTTTAAAATAGAGCTCAGTTGTTCAATTTCATTATTGATATGTTATTTTTACCTAAATCATCGCTGTTTTATCTCTTCTCTAAACCTCTAAGCTCCTCCTATTTTCTGGCCTCTCATCCAATCAGCTCCTTTGTCGGCCCCTCATCCAATGAGCGCTCAGCGTTTGGGAATGGAAGCCAGCGGAGCCACAATGCCAGGCGGGAGGGAGCCCCTTTATCAGTAGCACAGCCCCCAGCGTCACTGCCTCGCCTCGCTGTTAAAGACAGAAGAGAAATGCTAAGGATGTAAGATGGCAGAGCTACAGATGCTATTAGAGGAAGAAATTCCTGCCGGTAAACGAGCTCTCGTGGAAAGCTACCAGAACCTGTCCCGGGTAGCGGAATATTGTGAGAACAATTATGTTCAGGTAAGAAGCGCTAATATAAGGCCGCTCTAAGCGATGCGTTGACCAGCTCCCCGTGGTCGTGTCTGCGGTGGTGCTGAAAGCATTTCCTGTCTCGGAGGTTTCACCACAGAGACGGGAAATGCTGGCCGCAATGAAAGCGATTTGGAAACCGCTAGCCCGACCGAGAGGCTTCGTCTCCCGGTGTACTGGTCCAGCCGCGGCTCGATACCGAGCATGGCTGCACGCCGTCATTTTCTCCTTTCCGTCCACGGTTAAAGACCTTTGTGTTTGTTTTTTCTCTCCCAGTGAGCTGAGCGCTGCTTTCAGTGGGTGTGTCGTTATCAGCACCGAGTGGATTGACTCGTACAGATGTGGACCACATTTATCTTCCATTCATTTATGACGATTTTATCCTGCTTTGGAAGCTAATGGTTTAGCATAATCAAAGCCTTACTTTGGCTACCATTGTGAAATTTGTGTTGATTTTAAACACGCCTAAGCTTCCCTAAATGTGTATTTATTCCATTAAAAATTAACGTATCCTGCTTAGACATTCCACACGTTTTCTGAACGTGTGAATTCAGTTTGATGGCCATGACTTTTCCTGGCTTAGTTAGTCGTTTCAGAGACAAATAGTACAGGTTTTTAGTAGTGATGCACCGATATGAAAATTTTGGGCCAATACCGATATTAGCATCACTGTTATGGCCGATACCGATATACTAACATCAATGCTTCTAAAGTCAGCCAAATGAAAAATATTAAAGCTGAATTTACATTACTATGTACTAGTGATGGAATGATGATACCTCAAGGAGTGTATTGACACACTAGACATACTGTGTCGGCACTGTATTGACACTGTGTTGTTCATTCAATAGTGACACCTGCAGTATTTCTAAAATCAGGTAAATAAGATGGAAAAGCTTACATGCTGCAAACCCACACCAGGTGTGCAAGATTTAATTTCCTGTAATCAAAATATCATATCATTATGGAATTTAATTTACTCAATTTGTTAAGTTGTTTATGAAAGGAGTTTAACATTTGCTTATAACCTTTGTGTAAATGCTACAATGAGTTGGCATGTTAAATCTTCTGAATGTGTCTAATAAAAATCAGAAGTAAAAGTTTTAACTTATTTAAATGTGTTAACCTCTGTGTTAGATCATACAAAATAAAAAACTAAATATGGATTCATTTATGCATTTTTATTGAGGAACAAAAGTTTCTGCAGTGTGTTTGCTCCAAGGCGATTTCTCCTCTTAGACACCAGTTGCCCTGCCTTAGAAAACACTCTTTCACAGGGTACAGCTGAAGATGGTGTGCATAAGAATTGAAGTGTGAGTTGATATAGGTGTGGATATAAATTATGGTTATATTTCCAATATTGTAATGGGTCTTGTGTTCTTGGTGTGTTTCTTTCAGCCAGGTAGCGTTGGACTTCAATTATGGAATTAGCTGTAGTATTAGAGGTCATCCTGCTCTTCTCAACCTCCATATCAAGGTGTCTCCAGAGATTGTGTCCTAATAAATAAATTGGAAATAAATCTGTTAATCATTGGTTTACTATCACATGATAAACTTACACAGAAATAAACAAATATTCACAAATAAATGTGTTTTCATACCTGAACTGTGTTCAGAGGGTGTGTAATAGACTATTTTTGACAATTCAGATTTTTTTGGTGATAATTTCAACATACCTGGGATATCTACCAATTCATCATTGCCATGCCGAGCTCTATAATGCCTCAGCATTGATGAAGTGCTCTGTGGAGCAGAGCCGACACTTCACCTACAATAAAATAAATAGTTAATTTATCTGAAAACAATTTAAGCCTCTTACCAGAGAAAGACTACAAACACATTTAAAATACAGAAATAACAGTAAATGTTGCCAGGTAAAGCTTACAGATGCTGTAGTAAAACAAAAGGTATAATAATTTATTATTAATAAAACCTTGTTGTTGCAGCACTAAAGCAGAAAAATAGATTTTGCAATAAATATGCTAAATATTTACATATGAATTGTTTTAGAGCCCTTTTATTGGCAGAATCTGATATTAATTTATTTCTTACAAAAAATGGGTCCCAACATGGTTTGTGTGGCGTTGCCATAGTGTGACATAATAGGCACAGATCCCCTGTCCTCTTGTTTGGAAATGGAAATATGATCACCCTGTATTAAACAAACTGTCCACCCGGGCTCTTGCACTGCACAGAGACGCTTCGCTGCCTATGACTTTTAACGTCAGTTGAGAGGCAGTCTCATGCAGACTGACCAATGAAGAGAGGGCCTCAAGTTAAGACTCTCTCCTCATTGGTCAGTCCACACAAGGTGGGTCAAAGGTTATCCTGAGCGGGTTACGTGATGTCAGGCATTCAAGTATTGAGTATATTTACTGCATATTACAGTAAAATATTCTGTATGTGACCATATTATGGTGATCCTTGGGTCGTAATGATGGGGCCCTTTAATATTGTTGCACAGGGTACAACAAAGTGTTAATCTGGCCCTGATCACGATATATTACAAAACATTCAGTCAGATGTTATTTGAGTCCAAAGTGATACTTAACATGAGGTATCTGATTCTGAACCGTAACAGAGGGATTTACATTTCAGTGAAACAAAAACCCACTGCACACTGCTGCCAACTAGCGGTCAGTGTTTGAATTACATCAAAAGAAAAGAAAATACATAAAACGCTTGCATGTAAATTCTTCCAAAAATTCAATACACACCTTTTGAATATCGATATAATATAGCAGGAAGAAATATCATGATATCACTCAAGGGTGATTTGTTTAATTTTAAGATTAATCGCTCCTGTAGACATCAAGGAAGGCTGGGGAGACATTTCAGCAGTTAAGAGTAAGGTGTTAAAAAGATGAATGAGAGTTTTTTAACCGTTTGTTACAAATCAGTAAGTGCATTTTTAATTTTTCTAATATGGTGTTGCTCAGAGAGTCTCGTACATTTTAGACCCAATTTTTATGGTCATATGTTACAAAGCCACCAATATTTTTGAACAACTGGGAATTATTGAATTCATTTTCAACATTTCGATGGACATTTCCAGAGATTAATGTTAAAAAAGACACATTATCTCTCTAAATCTTCTATACTTTTAGTAAGTTTTATTTAGTATTCTCTACATTGATGTTGATGATTAAATGAATCTAGTATTTGATTATTCCATGAACAGATTTAGACTGTCCATAAGTGTAATAGTTGAAGTCCTGCTTTCTAGAAGCAGTCCCAGATAGGGATGGGTACCGAATTCGGTACTTTTTAAGGTACTGACCGAATTCCATAGTACCGACCGAGCACCGATTCACGGCATTTCAAATGGTGCCTCGTTTCGGTACCCGTCCATCATAACGAGAACTTGCCAAGACAGCTGCGCATGCGCAAGAGCGTTATGTCGTTGTTCACTGCAAGCCAGTTGTAAACAGAGCAGCATGGTAGAAAGAACACATGCTAAAGCTTGGGTCCACTTCACTAAATGTGATGGGTAACTGGGTGATGATGAAACCAGCGACAACGATCTAAGTGAGACATCCTAATCTTAATCTGCTCCGGTAGGTAAATATAATTAGCTTGATATGTTAGCTTCCGTTTCGCTAATGGTGCGTTCGCTTTCTCCTCGGAACTTCGAATTCCCAACTAGAAGAACATGAACGCGCTCTAAAGTTTGGCTTCACTTTACTAAATGTGACGGGTGAAGATGAAACCAGCGACAACGATTTAAGTGTGAGGCATCATCGTTTTAGTCTGCTCCAGCAGTTAAATAAACTGTTTAAGATAACGTTAGCTTGGTATGTTAGCTTCCATTGCCACCATTGTTATCAGCTAATGGTGCGTTCGCTTTCTCCTCGGAAATTCTAACTTCCCAGTAAGAAAAATCAAATGAAAAAAGAACGATAAAAGGAATGAAGATACACAGTAAATTTAGTTCACAGTAAAGATGTTTGCTTCAGTTTAATTATCAGCTCATAAAACTACCAAGAACGATGTTAAAATACAAACAGTTGTATGATATTTATCGTGATATATATCAAATATTGTTATATATTGAGAAAAATATATATTTAATTATGAAAGAGAATTAAAATAATACACACTCAAAAGTATCGAAAATTGGTACCGTTAAATACCGGTATCGATTCGTAGGTACCGGGAATTAGTACCGGATCGATTCAAATGTCAAAGGTACCCATCCCTAGTCCCAGAATGCCTCTCTGTGCGGCTGCATTTGGCCAGTTTTGCTTCCAAACTATAAATATGTCTGCGAAATCCCACGGCTATGCAGAGACGTCCAGAAGCAGATGGTTTGAACAGCCGGGTAGAGATTTGGGATCCCACAAATTGTCCTGGCATTTCCTACTCTTTGGGCTCAGCTCCCACCATGCACCTGTCCCTGCACTGCCGGCGTGACTTCCTCTGAATGGTGCTGTGAAATTCCAAGCTGTGATGTTTCCCTCAGAGACCTCGCTTTAGAGACTTTCAAACTTGTCTTCCCTTCTCCTTGGAGCTTAGCGGGGATTTAAAGTTTAAGAGCAGCCAAGACTGAACAGTCTTGTCAGAATCTGTTCCCAACGAAAATAAATAAATAAAAACCGCTCCAGACTCCCACGACCAATAAGAGTGTAAGACAGCTTTTTTAATCTCTCCATTTCAGTCATCCACATCTTTTCATTGATTTCTCTGCTTTGTCTTTCTCTGTCTGCCAGGCGCAAGACAAAAAGAAAGCCCTGGAGGAGACCAAAGCGTACACCACTCAGTCTCTGGCCAGTGTTGCCTACCAGATCAATGCCTTAGCTAACAACGTGCTGCAGCTGCTGGACATCCAGGCATCGCAGCTACGACGCATGGAGTCCTCCATCAACCACATCTCTCAGGTACACACCACAGTAGTAACGGACTCCTGGAGTAACCTGGAGCTACGAGATGAGCTGCCTTTTTGTCACAGCATAGCCCTACAGGCGATGTGCAGAGAAGAGCATGGCGTGGCGGGCCGGCCCTGTAGTGAGAACGTGCATCACTCAGTACAGATGCATACCCTTTAAGCAGTTTGAGGCTACTCTTAATTATGTTTGTAATATTTACATGTTTCTTATCAACATTCTCCCTGAAAGAGAGAAGATCTTTGGTAGAAAAACCAATGAAATGACCGATACAGAAAGAAAGAACACTTGTATGTGTTCTCCAGATCTCTCATTCAAAAGCATTGCTGAAGTATTGGATCGGGACTCAGTATCAGCAGATCGTCAAACTTCACCAGGGAGACGTCCAGGAGGCATCCTGACCAGAAGTCCGAGCCACCTCAACTCGCCTCTTGACGTGGAGGAGCAGCGGGTCTACTCCGAGCCCCTCCCAGATGGCCGAGCTTCTTGCCCTATCTCTAAGGGAGAGTTCAGCCACCCTGCGGAGAAAACTAATTTCGGCTGCTTGTAGGGCTGCTCAATTAATCGAATTTTAATCACGATTACGATCTGAGTTTTGAACGATTATAAAAAACAAAACAAGCCGATTATTTGCTCCTCCCGCTTGCGCTGCCCTGAGTTGCAAATGAAGCGCTCCTCACAGTGTTGCCAACTTAGTGACTTTGATGCTATTTCCAACAGCTTTTCAGTCCCCCTTCTTGACTTTTTAAATCTTAAAAGTACCTAGCGAACACCTCAGAAACTTCTCTGGTAACCCTTAATTACTTTCTGGATAACTGTCGTCGACGTTTCCTGCAGGTTAGCTAAACACTCCGCCTGCGCTCCGGACCGTTCTTCAGGACATTAGGGAAGGGAATGATGTAGTGATGTGTCAGTCGCTAAATAAACAGCTCTCGGAGCCGGCTCCCTGTTGGACTAACCAGAGTGAGTGACACACACATCGCACCTGCGGACTCCTGAGCCGCTAAAAACGGCTAAATGTGCGCGTGCGGCGTGCTAAACACACGTGCAGCTTTCCCCTGATTGCTTTGAGACTGGGTTGGGGGTGGGGGGTGCAGCTGTGGTTGGGACAATTATTACATTAACTGATGGACTTGTAAATAAATAGTTTATAAATAAGGTAGAAATAAGTTCCTCACGCTGATAACTAATAACTAATCTCTCTGAGGACACGGTGCTAGTGCACGCTCCTACAGCACCTTGACACGACTCAATAAATGCTATGCAACATTTTGTGAACATCAATTTATTTGTTATAAATGCCACTGTATAATTCTTGCTGTCAGTATTTGCAAGATATTGGTTTTTGGGTTTGTACTGGTTAGACTTAAATGAGTTAAACCAAGGTCTATAGCCCTTGGATCATAAACTATGAGCTATAAGTATATTGGTCTTTTTATACTGGGAATCAGGAGTTCTTTTAGTGATCATCTTGTTTCTTATTTTTGTCCTGATTGTGCCCTGAGCAATTTTATGACTGAATTAAAAACAAATAAAATCAACATAAATAGAAAAATCGTCCTAAATAATCGTGATCTCAATTTCAGTCACCATAATCGTGATTATTATTTTTGCCATAATCGAGCAGCCCTAGCTGCTTGTATCCACGATCTCGTTCTTTCGTTCACTACCTAAAGCTCATGACCACAGTTGAGGGTAGCAACGTAGATGGAGCGGTAAATGGAGAACTTTGCCTTCCGACTCGGCTCTCTCTTCACCACGACAGATCGGTACAACGCCCGCATCACTGCAGACACAGCAGTAAGGGGTGGGAACATCCCTGGAAACTACACAAATTTATGTCTGCTATCAGCTTCCTCACCACTAAAGAGAATAGTAGCGTGTTACTACTTGAAGACTGCAGATGTGACAGAGGACATGTCACACCTCTCCAGCTCCTTTTACTTCACCAGCTTTTCTTTTCTTTGTCCGTCGTCCACTCTTCCCGTCCCCTCCCCATGTGCTTCATTAAGCCTGTCAGAGTGAAGCTAGCGTGCTCTCTCACTCACTCGCCCCTTTGCATTTTCACCTCTCCGCCATTCTGCATGCTGGTGGATAGGGTGGTGTTAGGAGCATCCTAATGAAGAATGATGTGCCTCTCGTATTGATCCAGTGGGGAGTCATTTGATGTTTCTGTCAGATCTTGTCAGATGTTTGTGCTAACCACACTGTGACCGGAACATCTGAGTCAGGATGGTCACTGGGCTTTTTACACACACAAGCGCTGCAGTGCCACAGGTCTACTATGTTTTCTTTCCGAAAATGCTCTCGAGTCTATTTGCATGTAATAAGTCCCAATATGGAGCCGTGGTCTGGTCTGTCACAGTGGGAGAAAACAGGACAGCGGGTGCAGCGCTCCAGACCTATTTTGTTATTTGGAGTACCAACAACAAATGCAAGACTGTCTCTTCATCGTGCAGTTTTGCGAGCTCTGCACGCTTGCATGTAAAACAACGAGCCAGCCCAGCTGATTTGTTATTTTAGTGAACACCATTTCAGCTCTGGCACTGAGCAGCATTGTGGGTTACTAGCTGGGGCCAGTGGTCAAGCTCACCTCATGAGCAGGCTAGATCAAGAAGTGAAAGAAAACAGTGATCCCTCGTTTATCGCGGTAGATGCGTTCCAGACCTGGCCGCGATAGGTGAAAATCCGCGAAGTAGGGACACCATATTTACAGTACAGTACTATATTGAATTATCGTATGATCACATTCTCTTTTTGTGGGTAAAACTCAAGAAAAAAATTTTTTTACTTGGTTTTTTTATAGTTTTATTACAAAAAGTGCATTTTATGATGAAATTGATGAAAAAACAGGAATTTCTTGATATTTCGCATAGAAAAATACTGCGAATTGGTGAAAAATACCGCGAATCGGCGAATTTCCCTTGGCTCCAAAGAAAAAATCTGCGAAGTCGTGAATCCGCGATAAACGAACCGCGAAGTAGCGAGGTATCACTGTAATCACATGGCATTTCTTTAACACCAAGATATTTTCTTCTTTGTTGCACTTGGCAGCAAAATTCACTAGAAATCTAGACAACCCAAAGCCAAAGATGTAGTTCTGCAGCTCGATCTAGCCACGCCCCGTTGTAGCCTCAGCGGGTCTACCGTCGGCTCGAACAATGCCGTGTAATGCCAGTCTCAGCGCTCAATGTTTGTTAGGCAGGCTTTACGCTAGAGCTGCAGTGGAGGATAAACTACAAAGGTGGCGTAAGCTCTGGAATGGCACTCGTTTGAAACGGCTTTGGCATCAACTTTGAACGATTTAGACTTTTGTTTGAGATGTGAGCAGGTAGAGGTTCATTCATTTATTTAGAAAAAGGATGGGTGTGTCTCAATGTCAAGGCGTCTGGCCTTGCGAGGCGATGTCTTGCGAGGCCAGGTGCCTTACTTAGGAGGACACTGTCCTTCCTTGGTCAAAGAAAACAGTTGAATGGAACGGACTTGCATCACGTGACCGCGGCTTCCACGGCGGTCATGTAACGTCACGTGACACGGGCGATAACGTTATATTTTATATGTATAAGTGTCAATGTAAATAAATAACGAGACATTTACTTTTTAAATTGTGTATATGTTTATTAAACAAAATGTATAAGCGAGTTACTACCTGGTAGGCACCGAAGCTGCAGCTACTAAGCAACTAACCAACAACAGATAAATTATTTGGATCTAAAAAAAACATTTTAAATTAGCTGACTTACTTTTAAACTTGAAAATTGTCCCCAAAGTAGCTGCCGGCTTCTGACCCGCCATCCTTTTGAAAATACCGCGGTGTATTCTGGGTAATTTTTGTCCAAGGCTGGGCTACAAGACGCCTCCTGTGAATCCTTGCTCAGCTAGCTAAACAGCTAACAGACGGAGAACACACGCCTCGGTAGAACATGAACATTGGAACCGATTGGAACACGTCTTGGCGGCTCCGGATGACGTATCTCCTAGGCAACCGGGGCGGGGCCAAGACATCAAGGCAAGGTTCCTTGGCTTTGAGAAACACCTGATATATTTGCTTCTTCGATGGTGGACTGCCTTGTTGAGTCGTAGCGACACGTTCTGAATGATCCTAGCGTTGTCCAATTGCATGTGGAGACAACTGCCACACACACACACACACACACACACACACACACACACACACACACACACACACACACACACACACACAACTGGGTTCTTTCAATGGCTCATGGCCAGACTTTTAATTTACATATAAAGGGTGGCTTGTCATGCTGCCAGATTGATGTTTTTCAATATAAAATGTCCAAAATGTTTTTACCGTGAAACATGCTAACATAGATGTCGTTTCCAGATTATCAGCTGATTGATCTGTTCTTTACCCTTCAGAAAAGTGTTTTAGTAATTTACAGATCATTTAAAATCTTTCTGAAAGATGATCTCAAATCAAAAGCCAGATATTGTTGTTATTGTGTCCCTGATGTCAAAACCCAGAGTCCTTCTGCCCCACCGTTGAAGTAAAACCCGTCAAACATGTACTCACTTTTACATGAACCTCATCCAGGTGGGCCTCTGTGGTTCCGTTTGAGAAATCTGATTTGAACTTCCTGCAGAGTTGAGCTGAAACGGTTAAAACACAGTCAGAGAAAAGATGCGAGATATATCTGCCAAGTCCAGCTCTCATTTAAAAACCCTCCAGAGAGACGGCTGCGATGAAATAATACAAGAAAGGCTACAGCGTCAAAGTAAAATCTCCAGCAGAGATTAGCGATGTCTAAAAATATATATGTGTGAATTCAGCTGAAAGGTAACGCATCTTGCTTCATTTTCTCTGTGTAGATGCTGCCTTCTCTGTTCCTTTCAGGCTATTTTTACTTTAGTCAAATCTTCAGGAGTTCAGGAAGGATGTGACTGAATGCCACGCTGAAAGACGTCTCTGTTAACGCAGTTAGCGAGTAGCACCACCTCAAATAGTTTTTCAGGCTCCAGTAAGTAATTGGGTGCTAAAAGACAGATTTATTAGACAGAAACTACAGTTAGGCCTGCACCATCTGTCTCCAGAAACCGGCTGCAGAGGTTCAGCGGACGGCCAGATGTCTGTTATAGTAAAGGTTACTGAAGAGGGAGAGAAGGAAGTACAGAGTTGTCTCATCGGGGATTAGATAAGAGCATGTTCATCTCACCCAGAGGTTACAACATTCTGCGTCTTCTGTGGAAAACATTCAAATAAAGCCACTTCACTTTTTCCATCATTAACAAGTAGATTTTTTTGGTTTTCCGGCTGATGTTTGCAGGTTATCATGAATAAATTTTAAATGACTGATCCATTTCCACTGGAGAACACTATCGTAATTTACTACTTTTATGTGTCGTCTCTATATTTGTGCCTTTTTGTTTTTTTCACTCGGTCTAAGAAGAAGAAGAAGAAAGTATCATTTCTATAGCGCCTCTCAAGATAAAAAATCACGAGGCGCTTCACAAAAACAAAAAATGTAAAAATATAAAAAAAGCATTTAGAAAATGTTTAAAAATATATTTAAAATGAGCAAAAATAGACAATTGTGATTAAAAAAATGTTAAGAAAGAGAGAGAGTGAACAGGAAAGAGGGAAATCAGTGGAGCCTGAGGAAGGTGGAATAGGTGGGGAGAGCAGAATAAAGAGAGAGTGGTAACTACGATGCCTCCTCTGACGCTGACAGGAAACAGGCAGGCTTTTTGTCTTACTTCCCAGCTGATGCTGGATGTGTCACTTCAGTTTCCTCTCCTCTAAAACACACGTCACACCCGATAGGGAAAAGGACACGACACTTGGAAACAACTGTACATAAAGGTGTTTGGTTCCTTTCACCAGTCTAAAGTTTCACATTTTTGCATTTTGTTTAGTTTGTAATCTAAGTACGACCTCTATTTATGTATTATTAATTTAATTTCAGTCCGTTTTCTACTATGGTGTAGTGTTGGATGCATGCCGTAGAGCTCCATGCTGCCCCCTACAGTTTGGGAGAATATTGGCTCACCGCAGAGACGAGCCGCACGAACCATAAACGCTGCGAGTTGTGAAGCGCGTTCCAGCCGCGAGCCGCATCACCAAGCGGAAAGTAAAGGCGTCAAGCGTAAACCAAGCTTTTCTCCTGCGGTGTTGCTATCAGTGTGTGAAGAGTGGGAGAAGAGGGTTGCATTGATAATCCAACACAATGAGCAGCACATTGAACACATTTTAGAAGTGATCAGAAATGTGTAAATAACTCATGAAAGAATAAAGTTATGTTTAAACCAAGCACACCATTGTTTATTTTGTGTGTGTGTGAAATTCCCAATAAGTTTGATGTCACGTGACCCTCTTCCAGTTGAAAAAACAAAAGTTGGATCCAAGATGGCCGACTTCAAGTTTGCCCCCTCACACATACTAATGTGCCACAAACAGGACCTTAATATCACCAACCATTCCCATTTTATTAAGGTGTATCCATATAAATGGCCCACCCTGTAGACATGTAGATATCTGGATGCTTACCAATGACCTTTGCCTCTTCCCAGAATGTATTTGATCAGCTGCTGCTAACGCTCTTGAACACACAAGGAACACTCTCTTTAGGCTTAGATCTTGTTAAATAATATCTGCTAAGATATTCGGCTCATTTTCCGAACCCAGAAAAGACCAAATCATTTAGTTTGTTAGTAAAACCTTAAAAATGAAAGTAGATGTCCAGTCTTTTAAATAATTTGACCATATCTGCTTATGTTTAAACCAGCCCAGTTTTCTTCCACTTACCTTGACCCCTCTCAGCATCTCTCATCCTTTCCATTTTGATCCATCGTTTAGACAGAGCCCATCCTTGCAGGTGACTTTTAAACTGGTAGAGGTCTGAGTTAGGCTTCAGAACAACAGGATGATCCATACATTTCCTTGTTGGCATTCAACTTCTGGTTCTTTCTTCTGCATTTCACAAAACCGCCAGTGCAAATACAGTTTGAGACTTTTTAAACCGTGTACCGTTTTGTGAAAACAAAACAAAACTGAAATATAGATGTGCTTTACTAAAGGCTTATTCTATGTTTCTCTCCTGCAGACGGTGGACATTCATAAGGAAAAAGTGGCTCGTCGAGAAATTGGCATCTTGACCACAAACAAGAACACTTCTCGCACCCACAAGATCATTGCCCCAGGAAACATGGAGCGACCCGTCCGCTACATCCGGAAACCCATCGACTACACCCTACTGGATGATGTAGGACATGGTGTTAAAGTAAGAAAGGTCAAACCAATTTATTACAAATGACCTTTAGGAAAGCCATTATCTCCAGAAATCTGCCTTTAGTTCTACTTGGGTATTGTGTCTTTCTTTCATTTTCAAACAACAAACATCTTTCATTCTCTTGACTGGAGGCTCAGATCAAAACTACAAAATAAAAAAAATGAGCCAGATTTTTATTTTTATTTTTTCATTGACATCAATCACCCTGTCTATAGTGTTGATCACTAAAGCAAACAACAAGGGGATAAGAGCCAATCCGCCATGCAGTCCCACCTCCACCTACAGCACACCGCACTGTGGTTCTGCACCAGGGGGTGGAGGCCCTTGAGGGCCTGTTTCCTGCATGTTTTTGTTGTTTTCCTGCTGCAACATTCTTGATTCAGCGGTTGAATCACCTGTTCAACAGATTATAAAGCTCTCAGAAGCCTCTTAATCATCTGCTGACTAAAATCAGGCGAGTTGAAGCAGGGAAACAACCAAGCCATGCAGGATAGTTGCCCTGGAGGGATCTGCAAAGCTAAAGTTCAGCTCTCTGACCTTCTCTTCACTTCTCCATCAGCACCCTTACAGCAAAAATAGCATCTGTAGTACTCTTTCTTGGCATGAAACCACACTGCTGCTCATAAATGCTCCCTCCTGACCTGAGCCTAGCCTCCACCACTCATTTCCACATATTCATTGTGTGACTCCTTAACTTTATTTCTGTGTAGTTGTTGCAATTCTGTATGTTTCCACTATTGTTGAAAATCTTCACCAGAACATTTTCACACCGTTTCCCTGCCATCTTCTCAATCGTCAAGATCTTGTTGAACAACCTTGTCTAAAACTCTACTGGCACCTCTCCTAGACACTTCCATACCTCCACATTTATGTCAAAATAACCAACTACCTTTCCCCGTTCATCCTCTACAAAGCTTTCCTAATTTCATCCTTACTACCATTTAGGGCTGGGCCATATGGCCTAAAATCAATATCACGATATATTGAAGATTTCACCTCTAACGATAAACGATAACTACGGGTATGCGCAGAAACAAAGTTGTCCACTAGATGGGGCTGTCACGTGTATTACGTTGACTCGCATTTCTACGTGACTCAAGTTGGTGCAGCTTCTTGAAGGGACATGGACGTTTCTAACCTACACACATCTTCTCATTTTTTTATTATCTAATTTATTGACACGGGAAATATTATCGCGATAAGAGTCAGAAATTTCAATAACGGTACATTTTTGATTTGTCGCCCAGCCCTACTACCATTACAAACTAAAGAAAAGTTTCTAATAGAAACAGAAGTCCTACACACATCCACAGCATCCACCATTATTCCAGCCCCCTCCCCCCCTCCCCCCCCAAAAAAAAGACACATTTGCTCTAAATTACTTCAGACCAGTAGCACTCACATCATGTCTATGTAGTGATAAACTGGCTCTCTGACACCACTGACCCTCTACAGTTTACGTATAGCCTCAACAGATCCACAGATGAAGCAGTGGCCGGGCCCCTCCACCACACACCTGGATACTTTTCCTGGATTACAGTTCTGCATTCAACTCTTATCAGACCTGTAAAGCAGACTGTAAAGCTGGCTGACCTCTGGGTTGTGACTCCAACTCGTGAAAAAATGTGCAAATTCATTTCAAATGATCATGACAAAGTAAAATACCAAAATGATCCTGTCAAAGTTTACACATCCCAGTGATTTTGGCCTGAAACACACACACAGCTTGACACAAATGGGTCTGAATGGCTGCTAAAGGCAACCATCCTCACCAGTGATCTGTTTGTTTGCAATCAGTGTGTGCTTATAAAAGGTGTGTGAGTTTTTGGGCTTCTGACAAACGCTTGCATCTTCAATCCAGAGCTGCACTGATGTTTCCAGTTTCTGGATCATAGGGAAAGCCAAAGAATGATCACAGGGTTTATGAGAAAAGGTGATTGGACTCGATTAAACAGGAAAGGAATACAAAAGGATATCCAAGATACTGATGATGCCAATCAGTCGTGTCAGAACTCTGATGAAGAAGTGGGCACTGTTGAAACCAAGCCCCGGTCAGGGAGACCAACAACTTGCAGAAAATAGTGTGCAAAGCAAAGAAAACCCCACAAATAACTGCTGACATTCAGGAATCCCTCAAGGAACGTGGCGAGGCTGTTTCAAGAAGCTCAATAAAGATGTACTTGAAGAAAAATGGGCTGCAAGGTGGAGTTGCCAGAAGAAAACCATTACTACGCAAATGCCAAACAGCAGAGACACGCCAAAACATTTCTGGAAGAAAATCATTTGGTGTGATGAGGCCAACATTGAACCTTTTGGCCACAACCATAGATCTTAAATTGTGAAAGGACTCAACAAGACCTGTGATGAAAAGTACACGGTTCCTTCTGTGAAACATGGAGGCGGTTTACTGATGTTTTAGGAAGGTGTGCGTTACCAAGGCACCTGGCAAAAAGTGGATGGAAAGATGAATGTAGAAGCTTAACCAAAAAAAACTGTTCCTCATCAGCCCAAAAGCTGACATGGGTCACGCTTGGATGTTCCAACAAGACAGTGATCCACAACACAAGGCCAAGACGACCTGCTGCCATTGACCCCAGAATAAAGGGATGGTTCTGCAGTGGCCGTCTCAGTCTTCTGACCTCAATATGATTGAACGTCTGGAGGGAGAGTTCAAAAGCACTTTTCATGCCACATGACCCATGGATTTAAAGGAACTGGTGGCTTTTTGCCAAGATGAATGAGCTGCTTTACTGATTACTTACAGGACCTTCTCCACAACGACCACAAAAGACTCCCAAGCTGCCATTGATGCTAAAGGGGGCAACACCTGGTATTATGAACTGAGGTGTGTAAACTTTTCAGCAGGGTCAATTTGGTCTTTTCTTTTGTTGTGGTGATTTTTGAAATTAGTTCATTTTTTTCACAATGGCTTCACAACATTGCTGACCATGACAAACAAGGCTTTTTATTCATTTATTTATTATAAATCTTTCACTTTCGATCCATATGCCAGCATTTGAGTGTAAGAAAACTAAGAAGGACTGTGGCTGAGGAAGCTCAGTCACATCTGAAGCTAGGAGTTCTTTTTGTGTGGGTCGTAATTTTAGAACGTCAAATATGTTTGCCAAGTGTTACTCACAGCATCACATCCACCATGGACGGGAGACTTTTGGATGTTTCTTCAGCTCTCTCTCTCCCTCGTCTCTTTCTTTCTCTTTTTTTAAAGTGCCGTGTGTTTTTGCTCGAGTGTGCACGGTCATGTGTGTTATGTACTTTATTCAGCGTCCCACCCCCTCAAACACACACCCACCCTTGGCCTTTCTCTGTTGAGACAGCGGCAGTTTGCTGATTCTCAAACATTCACAGATTCAAATTCAAAAGCCAGAGTTTCCTCCTTTGAGAGCTGTCTCACATTGAGACAGATTAGGCATGGCCTACTATAAATCCAGCATCACTGATGGATGCAGGAAATGGATGATTCTGTGTAGAAATTGGTGCAGATCAGTGGAAGTGCAGGAAAATATGCTGCAGTGTCTTCTCTGGATCACCTACCTGCAAAGGAAGTTATGCTGCTGCAACTAAAAGGATGTGTGTGTGTGTGTGTGTGTGTGTGTGTGTGTGTGTGTGTGTGTGTGTGTGTGTGTGTGTGTGTGTGTGTGTGTGTGTGTGTGTGTGTGTGTGTGTGTGTGTGTGTGTGTGTGTGTGTGTGTGTGTGTGTGTGTGTGTGTGTGTGTGTGTGTGTGTGTGTGTGTGTGTGTGTGTGTGTGTGTGTGTGTGTGTGTGTGTGTGTGTGTGTGTGTGTGTGTGTGTGTGTGTGTGTGTGTGTGTGTGTGTGTGTGTGTGTGTGTGTGTGTGTGTGTGTGTGTGTGTGTGTGTGTGTGTGTGTGTGTGTGTGTGTGTGTGTGTGTGTGTGTGTGTGTGTGTGTGTGTGTGTGTGTGTGTGTGTGTGTGTGTGTGTGTGTGTGTGTGTGTGTGTGTGTGTGTGTGTGTGTGTGTGTGTGTGTGTGTGTGTGTGTGTGTGTGTGTGTGTGTGTGTGTGTGTGTGTGTGTGTGTGTGTGTGTGTGTGTGTGTGTGTGTGTGTGTGTGTGTGTGTGTGTGTGTGTGCGTGCGTGCGTGCGTGCGTGTGTGTGTGTGTGTGTGCGCGCGCTTTGTCTCCATTCACGTTCTCTCCACACCTATAAAGAAATGCAGGGGGATTGATACTTACAGCTTCCTTTTGACACGGAAACTCGCTCTCTAATGAGCTGGATTTTAATGTATTTACAGTGCTCAGCATAAATTAGTACACCCCCTTTTAAAAAGTATGAATGTAATCAGCAGCTCAACGAACAAAAGAACAATTTTAGATCTTTCACAAGGGTGAGTTTTACTGAACACTTGTTTAACTCCATAACATAAAATTAAGGTTAATAATATAACTTCGATCACAAAATATTTAGTTTTACTAAAATTGGCTGAAGCTAAAGGAATACCCCCCCCCCCCCCCCCCCCCAACAAAAACTACTACATCTAATATTTTGCATCCCAGCCCTAGCAAATCCTAGGTGTGCTTTTTTGTGTATGGGCTTTAGGAGAGGCTTCCTTTGTGGGTGACACCCATGCACGCCATTCCTCTGCAGCGTGTGCCATATGGTGTCACAGGAAACTGTCACTCCAGTTTGGCGTTCTACTGCTTTAGTTAACTGCAGTGAACTTGCATGGAGAATTTCTTCAACCCTTCTCATCAGAAGACGCTCCTGTCCAGATGTTAACTACCGTGGACGGCTTGGACATCTCACTTCTATCTTAAATTTATGGATCACTTTTGCTACAGTATTCTGACTGATATGTAAAGCTTTGCTGATCGTCTTGTCGCCCTCACTTTTTTGTGTAAAGAAATGATGTCCTTTCTCAGATTTCGTGGACATTTTTCTTCTATGTGGAGCCACTGCTGACAGCATGAAATGGGAAGGGCTTTTCTTTTGTTAAGTAATGTCCTTTTATAGTCACC